GCATCAAAAGGTGTGGGATAACTGTCCAGCAGGATCTGTGCCTGGGGCTTCCTTGGCTGGTCTGGAGCGATTGACAAAATCAAGGGCAAAGTGGTAAGTTTTTCATCCTGGTAACTTTATTTCATCTAAAGAACCAAACTTCTTTTGATTTTTAAAATTTTGTTTGAAAGGCAGAGAGCCCAGAAGGAGAAAGAGAGACAGAGACCTTCTGCCCACTGGTCCAGTCCTCAGATGCCAGTGACAGCAGAGACTGGGCAGGCTGATAGCAACAGTGGGGCTCCCACATGGGCGGCAGGGACCCCCTGACTTTGAGTCATCACCTGGTACCTCCCAGGGTGCACATGAACGAAGAAGCTGAGACCAGGAGCAGAACTCGGGCCTTGAACTCAGGCACACCAAGATGGGGTGTTCCCCTGTGCCGAATGCCTGCACCAGTACGGTCTGGTCTTATTCTGGGAGTGTTTGTTTCCTCCTGCTATGAAGTTGTCCTTTTCTGCTAGAGAATGATGAAGGCTGGAGGTGGCAAGAATCCCTTTCGTGTGACATGAAGGACTACCCTTGTTGGTGTTAGAATCCATGGCTAACACGCCGCTGGGTCCCCGGTTAAGGGGTGTGCTCCTGTCCTGGCATGCCTTCTTCCCTGCTCCCTGACTGGACATTAGCTTGTGTGCTCCTATGCCACTCAGAGATCCTGAAAGACATTCCAAAGAATGGTGGTCCTGCTGCCTTCCACGGAGAGCTACGAAAACACTCTCCATAAGCTCTGCCCATCTAGGGAGCCCGGGCCAGGCTGGACTTGCCTACCCAGGCCATGCTGTCTATCCGGCTACAGAAGCTACAGTATCCTGCCCCTCCCTAACCCCCACACACTAACCTTCTTTTTCAGACCTGCCTCATCCTGCAATGGGGCTGCTTGCCATGCCACTCCCTTTGCCAGCTCGAAAGAGAAAAATTGAGCCAGAATCTCTCTGCCACCACCCTGTTCCACCCACCCCAGCGCTGTCTGGTAGTATGAGCTATCCACTGTCTGCTCATTGCACGGTTTCCGTGGCATCCAGGAGCCCCCCACCTTCCTTTTGTTTGGCTGGTTTCCATAAAAGTCCATAATTATGCTGGTTTCCTGCTGCTTATAGGTGGGGATGCTCCAGATCCCCCTGCAACCCTGAAACGCCCATCCTACGGCCTCTCCTTCACTTCCTATCATTGTCTCTCTCCTTGTTCTCTCCCTCCTAGTTGCACCAGCAAGGGACCATGCTGGCCTTCCCAACTAGAATGGAGAAGGACAAGCAACAGCAAATACAGAAACTTGCACTTGAGTAGAGCATTGCTCCTCAGACTGGTGTCTTGAGAAGTCCGTGGCTGCATGCAGGCCCCTTTGTGAATTGCACCCCACCCTGCCTGACTCCAGGGTCAGGTTACAGGGGCCCTTGAGAACACCCTGAACTGGAAAGACCCAAGCCAAGGGAACTGGTTGAGAGGTAATGCTCATGGATGGGCAGTGGGGTGGAATGCAATGGGGTCTAGGTTCCTGTGTGGCTGGGGTGGAGGATGGGTGGGTACTGGGGGATGCTTACCAAGTCATTGGCCCCACACTGAGTCTGCAGAAAAGGTAGTGCCTGGTTGGGGGAGCCTACCTGCCAGTAGGGCCAGTTCCTTCCAACTCTCCCAGTCCTTCCTGCTCCACCCCCCTGAAGTTCAAGATGAACTACGTGAACCAATCTGCACCAGCGCCTCCCTCCACAAGTGAAGTAAGCCACACTGTGGTTTGTGGTCACTAACATACAGAGAACGACAACAGAAAAGTATAATGTGTATGAGAAAATTTGAAAAAATAATTAGCTAATAATGTTTTATATCAGTATGCAGCATTTGTCTAACTACAGGGAGCCTAATAAAGTACAGGGCATGCTTTGACTCCTTACGTGTCTGTTGGCCCAGAATGAGCCAACATCAGTAAGAAATGTGTCCTTTGCGATGGAAAACACATTAGTGTTGCTGGAAATATATGAAAAAATACAGATTTTTTTATTTTTAATTTTTTATTTAATGTGAAAGAGTTTCAGACAGAAGGAGTCAGAGACAGAGAAACAGCTCTGGTTTAGCCCCCAGATGGTTGCAACAGCCAAAACTGACACCAGACTCCGGCTCACAGAATGTACCAGACGTTCTGAAAGTAATGGGAAGAGTTGCAGGGTGGCAGCAGCGATGGGTGGGTAGTGACACCTGTTCCCCAGCCACCATGGCATGATCACACATGAACGCAGGCTGGGCAGAGACAGACCTCACCGAATCCCGGCTCTGCTGTTGGAGTCATGGCCTCCAGCCCCAGGTGTTGGCTCAGGTGCCGTGCCTGGCCTCCAGCACCTGGGCCGTGAGAGCTGCTCCATGAGCCTCCTGTTCCATGCCCAGTCTGCTATACCCGTCCACATTACCCACAGGTTGGGAGGAGCAGATGGGGTCAGACAGCACTGCCAAGGCCAGCCTCCTGTCCAGACCTGTGAGCTGCAGCCAGAGCCCTGCACCCACTCTCCAGGGCATAAAGTTCCTCCTACTGTCCCACTTCAGTGCTTACTGCTGCACAGAGGAGCAGAGACCACAGGCCTGTGTGGGACCTTCACTGGGGAAATGGCAATGTCTGTGCTGAGTGCTAGAAGTACACACTTACACAGCTGCACACGCTCACGTGATCACATACACCTGTGCTCACACATGTAGACACACACGCACACATACACATGTGAATGTGCAGACTTATGCATCTGCATAAACGTGCAGCATGTGTGTGCTAGTACAAACGTGTGCACACATATATAGACATGTGTACATAAATGCACACACGTGTGTGGGTCTCTGTGTGCATGCACTCAGCACATATATGCATGTGCACATGGATGATGCGTATACGCGTGTATATATCAGAAGTTCTGTACTGCACACACACAAGTCTCACTTGTCAGCAAGGAAGCAAACTTTCTGTCGCCTTTATCTGCTCACCTGCACCTGCTGGACGGTGACCCAGCTGGCCAGCTGAGGACCAGCAGGAAGCTCTGGTTCTGGTCCACTCCCAGGTGCTGGTGGTATTTAACCTCTCTGTGTGGGCCTGCCCTGAGCCCCAGATGCTACTTCAAATGCTCAAGTTGTCTCTCTGCCCATGCAGCCCTTCTGGCCAGCCCTCTATCTCCGTTTCATTTCCTCTTCCCATACCGATTCCCTGGAACCCCACTCCTCTTTATAGTCCTGCCTTTCCCCCAAACATTACCATCAGGGTGGCTGCCCTTCATGGGCGTGGGCTCCCAGTGGCTGCAGCGACTGACCACATCCCCTATAAATGCCCTGACCCTCCTCTGTCACTGCCTCCCACAGCCTCAAGCCCAAAGCTGGCCTGGTTGTCTCTCCCCGTGCAGCAGGGACATTGAGACAATGGTTCTATGGGTCTGGGGACAGTGCCAACTTCAGAGCCAATGAAATGTAAAGGCTGCCCAACCCACCAGTGGGACCCAATCACTCTGCAGCAGTCTCAGACTGCCTCTCATTTTTAACAGCAGAGGAGCCCACAGTGAGACTCCCACGTTCAGCGAAACTCCCACTCTAGAGACCAGGAGAGGGTGGGAGAAGGGCAGATGCCCAGGTCCCACCAGAAAAGACCCAGGCTTCTTGTCAGGAAAAGGTCACTGTCATCACTGAACACCATTCACACATCGGTTGAGAACACCGAGTAGACTGCCCATGCAGCCCCACAGGGCCTCTACACCTGTGCTGTCTGCACTCTGGGAGTTCGTTCTCTGTCTGCTGTACAAAAAGGTCTGCATGAGGCTCAGTGTGCTGAGTACAAAGGTGTACTTGTGTGCAGGTGTATCTGTGTGTGACCTGTGCATGCAAGTTGGTGTGTGCACAGGTCTGTGTTAGTGTATGTGACATATACATGCATGTCAGTCATGCGCAGGTGTGTATGTGTTTGTGTGTGACCTATGCATACATGTTGGTGTGTATCATGTGTGTGTGCATGTAACCACACATGCATGTTGATATGTGCTCAAGTGTGTTATGTGTGACCTGTGCATATATGTTGGTGTGTGACCTGTGCATGTATGTTGCTATATGCACAGATGTGTATATGTTGGTGTATGCACAGGTGTGTATGTGTTGGTGTGTGTGACCTGTGTCTGCAGGGTTGCTGTGTGTACATGTGTGTGCATGTTTGTGTGTGACTTATGCATGCATGTTGGTGTGTGTGCAGATCTCTGTGTTAGTGTGTGCAATTTACAGACGTGTGTTGCTTGTGTGCACAAGTGTGTGTTGGTGTGACCTGTGCATGTATGTTGCGGTGTGCACAGGTGTGTGTGCTGCTGGTGTGACCTGTGCATGTGTGTATCGTGTGTGGCTTATACATGCATGCTGCTTCTGTGCAAACATCGTTCACGCTCACAAGACCCACCCTGTGTCCACATGTGCACTTTGATCACTCCAAGAGCCAGCCATCAGATCATGCTGTTTATTGAGGATGCAACAGGGATAGCACAAGACATGAGAGGAGCAGTGGTGCCTCCTCTGCTCCGCTCTCAGATGCAGGAGCTCGAGGACAGAGGCAGAATTATGGCTTGGTCCCATTCGGAACAAGCCACCAGACCAAGCCAGGGGCCCTCTGGGTGGTTCATCCTTCAGTCCTCCTTCTCTTGAACTCAGAACTAGTTCTTCGTGCAGGCAGGAGCTGAGACCACGGCCCCAGAGTGTGAAGGGGCCTCAGGCTGAGACCCAGGGAGCCAGAGTGTTAGGGCTAAACCAGAGGCTGGGCAGAGGAGGGAAGACTGAGTGCTAGGGACTGAGCTGGCACTGCAGGCAGGCAGAAGACTGAGGTGTGCAGGGAGTAGTGGCAATAGGCATGCCTGTCTACTCTCATCCAGGCAGTAGAAGCAGATTGGTCAAGGCCAGTGTCTGGTGGCTGGAAGCAGGACCAGTCGCAGGGCGGTGGCGGGGGGCGGGGGCGCGGCTTACAGTAGGACACAGCATGGGAACCAGAGCTGGGGTCCTGGGGAAAATGGGGTTCAGGGCAGCCCTCTACCGACTGGCTTTCTTGGAGGAGGTGCTCAGACTGGAGCCCTTGCCCAGGGTATCCTTGTAATCGCTGCCACTGGTCCGGCTTCTGGTCTCACCGCCACGGACGCTACACACTCCTGAGATGCAGCTGCCACTGTTGGCCACGTAGCCAGCACTGACTGTGTTGGGCCGGAAGCCATAGCCGCTGCTGCCGCTGGTACTGCTGATGATGGCTGTCCAGGGAAAAACGAGGCTCAGTATCCACCAGGCTGGACAGGCTAAATGAGGGGCCACTCTCCCTAGAACATTCTCTCTCTCTCTCTCTCTCTCTCTCTCTCTCTCTCTCTCTCTCTTTCTCTCTATCAGGAGAATCCCCTCACCCTGACAGTCACAGCACTCCCTCCTGCTGGTGGAACATTTCAGAAAGCTTCCCCCATATCTTGCTCTTGGCTTGCTTGGCTTGTGCCCAAGGCAGGAAAGGATCTTTTTGCTCATTTCCTTGTAGCAGGCACCCACACACTCACATCCTTCTGGGTGCCCAGCTATTGCCCCTCTACAAAGGGTCTTCAAAAAGATTTTAGAAAATGTGTATTGGGAAGAAAGCTACTCACGAGTTTCAGAAATGGTTTGCATTTATGTTAATAGACAATTGCCTTTTTCCATGAAGTCTCTGAAGCTGCCTCATGTCAGCCTTTTTGCTAAACTCCCAGCTTGCTGGTTCTCCCTCTCCCACCAAGGGCAGCTCCTCGGGGCTTAGATTTACCTTTTGACCTCTCAGAGAGGAAGCCTGGAGACCCAGTCCTGTAAACTTGACCTTGGCCTGGATGTGCCAGTGTCTAATCCTCCAGGTCTGACTGCAACCTGGATGCCCAGCTGCCCAAGCACCTACCCCGTCATTGCCCTGTTCCACTGCAGCTGCCTCTGCCAGCTGTACCTGCCTGGCTAGGGCAGCCAAGAGTCCTGTTTCTGGCCATCGCACTGCCACCCAGCTTTGGGAACTGAATTAGAGTTTCCCCCTCTAGTTTTGGATTCCCCAGTTAAGGTGTGTCAATGTGCTTGGCAGCCTGCAAAGTCTTGTAGGGGACAGCACACAGATACTCACAGATGCTGACCGCAGAGGGATATTCTCCTGACATCCTGTGAAGGAGAGAACCAGAGCAGGGGACAGCGGTCAATATAACAAGTATTCCAAATTGGCCCTCCCTGCCTGCCCAAACCCCAGGGGCCCAATAGATGGGAATTCCAAGGCTAGTGGAGCCTCTGCAGCCTTAAGGGGCACCTCTGAATCTTTGGGGGTAGCCAGGATATGCAAATCAAACAATGATTTTTCAGGAGCCTGCAGTAGGAAGATAGCGTATGCACTTCCCACCTACACAACACCTCCCCATCTCCTAGTATAAAGTGGTCATTGTACCTTGCCTTGTGACAAGTTCATGTTGCACCTGCACAGGCAAGGAAGATGGCACCTGGGGGAGGGGCCCCTAGGGTATTTCCAAGAGTACCCAGAGAAACCATGGTAATTGAAAAACTAATGGGTGCAGTGTACAATATAGTACCACAGCTAATACAAAGGAAGCACTTGGCATGTTTACACGTGGCTGTTCCTTCCCTCTTATGGATAGATCTGTTACTATTGTCACCACTCTGTCACTCGGGATCCCCTCCTCTGGGTATGAGGATGTGCCAAGATTTCTCCTTTAGCTCCTTCCCAACATCCCCTGAGTCCAGAGCACCCCACCCCACAACCTCCCGCACCTGCACTCCTCGCCCTCCAGCAGCTTGCGGTAGGTGGCGATCTCCATGTCCAGGGCCAGCTTCACGCTCATGAGCTCCTGGTAGTCACGCATCATCCGGGCCAGCTCTTCCTTGGCCTGGTGCAGGGCAGACTCCAGCTCGTCCAGCTTGGCCCGGGCATCCTTGAGGGCGCTGTCTCCTCGCTGCTCAGCATCAGCGATGGCTGTCTCAAGGTTAGAAGCCTAGACAAAGAATCAGAGAAGTCAGGAACCTAGGAGGAACCCTTGGAGTCAGCGCCAGACAAGAAGGCAGGTTAAGCTGAATCTTCACGGCAGAGGCATCCACCTGTCGTGCAAGATTCTTCTGCTCTTGTTGAGACCCTGCTGGGGCTGACGGGACATCACATATCCCTGCCCTCCTGAGATCAAGGGCAGCTGAGCTAGGCTTCAGTTCATGGCAAAGATGCCACCATAGTCTCACTGTGCCCAGGACACAGAAAGAATGAACACAAGACTGGCTTTCTTCTCTGGAGTCTTTTGAGATCTGGGAGACGAGGTCCCTGGAGGATATGTGGCAGGTGCGACCGCAGTGACTGCTCCCGGCACCAAAGCTCAGGGCTTCTCAGGAGATCTCCAGAAGCAACTAATATTTGCCCAGCTCAGCACCTCTACAAGATGACCAAATGATAGGCGCTGCCACTGTTTTATCATGTATGTGCATCTTGCTCTGTACCTACTAAAACCTTATTTCACAAACCAACACGTACTTGGTGCTAAGCAGGCTTCAACCACCTTCCTGCCTTCTCTTCAGTCTGTGGCAGGTGTGGGAAGTTACAACAAGCCTTCTTGGCTGACTCAGCTCCAGTCTGCCTGTACTCATCCGCCCTCGGCCCCACAAGACCCCCCACCCGCCTCTCACCTGCTTCTTGGCATTCTCAATGTCGGAGCGGAGTCTCTGGATGACCCGGGTCAGCTCTGAAATCTCGTTCTTGGTGTGTTTGAGGTCATCCCCATGCCGACCGGCGGCCAGCTGCAGCTCCTGGAACTGGGCACCCCCAAGACATAGAACCCAGAGTGAGTGTGAGGAGCATGGCCAGGGAGTATATGATATTTCAGGGGGCTGCTAATGTCATGGGGCGGGACAGGGGACACCTAACTTGACCCTGCCCTGTCCTTGGCATGCCAACTGCCCTCTCTGTCCCCAGCAAGGCTTCAGCTTCAGCATACCTTGGTCTGGTACAGCGCCTCGGCCTCGGCCTTGCTCTTCAGAGCAATGTCCTCGTACTGTGAGCGGATCTCATCGATGATGCTGTCCAGATCCAAGTTGCGGTTGTTGTCCATGGAGAGGATGACGGACATGTCGCTGATGTGAGACTGGATCTGAGCAATCTCCTGCAGGGTTTGAGAGTGGAGGGACAGAGAGTGTCTCCTGGCTCAGCCACCACTACAGACTCTCACGTGCTCCCCCTGCATGGTGAGCTTGAATGAAGCATGGGCATTACCCATACCCTTCTAGCTCAGAAGGTCAGCAGCCTCTGAGGGCTGAAATGGGAGACCAGTACCACCCAGAGGGCCTCCCTAAGCCCCGGCCTGCATGGTGGCATCGCAGCCACCAGCTGCCCTTGGAAGGTCAGCCAGGAAGAACAGACTTACGCCTTCATAGAGACACCTGAAGAATTTGATGTCTTGATCCATGGAGTCCACCTTGGCCTGCAGTTCCACCTTGTTGGCGTAGGCGGCATCCACATCCTGAAAGGTGACCCCAGGCAACCCTGGTCACTTGCTGGCAGCAGCCGACATCTTGGCAATGGCCACCCCCTGCCTCCACAGCCTGGGATCCCAGAGCATGGCAGAGGCTCCCCAAGAAAGAGAGGAAGCAGCAAGAGGCCCACCTGTCCCTCCCCAGCAGGCTCCTCTGAGCCACTGGCAGGTGCACCCCTGAGGTTTCAGAGCCTGGTCCTATGGCTGCCAAGGGGGAGTCCCCTGGGTGTCATCTTCTGTCTGTCCTCTCACCCTCATCCTTCTGGCCCTTCCTCCCTTATTACTTATTAGCTTCAGTGTTTGATAAAAACAAATGCTGCCTGCCTATTCGACCCTTGTATCTCTCTGTGGGCCTTGACACCATCTGTTCCCGTGTTTAGGTCAGCTCTCTTCAGAACTGAAAACCAATCTGTCCCACTGTCTGCTCTCCCAGGGCTGCCCCCCATCTGCCCTCACCTTCTTCAACAGCACAAACTCGTTCTCTGCGGCCGTCCGTCTGTTGATCTCCTCCTCGTACCTGTAGAAACACCAGGCTCGTGGGACCAGTGTCTCACCCAGGGTCCAGTCTGCCCAGGGAAGGCCTTTAGCATACGCAAAGAGGCACAGGTGCTGGGGGGCTGCTGAGAACGGGGCCCATCAGGAAAGGCCTCCTAGAGGAGGAGACTTGGTGACCAGGTACAAGCTGTTCCTTTCACATCTGCACAGGGCAAAGCTCTCCCACATGTATCTCTCCCACCAGGTATAAGAGGAAAGAGTCCTTCCTTCCCCTCCGTGACCCAGGAGCACACAGAAGCTTGGGAACAATAGGAGCAACCAGACATATTGAGCTGAGGCAGGAGCTAGGGGTTGTCAAGTGAATAACCCCACTCACCTCTTCTTGTAGTCCTCCACCACGTCACGCACGCTCCGCAGCTCCGAGTCCAGCCTCACCCGGTCCCCGGACAGTGTCTCCAGCTGTTTCCGCAGGTTGCTGATGTAGCCCTCGAAGATGGGCTCCAGGTTGTTCCTGCAGTTGTTGAGGTCCAGCTGCTGCAGCAGCTCCCATTTGGTTTCCAGCACCTGGTTCTGCTGCTCCAGGAAGCGCACCTGAAATGCCAAGGCCCAGACGTGGCTGAGTTCCCATGGAGTGTCACCTGTCACATTCACACCAGGGCAGTGTGCTGAGGGCTCTCACTGTACAAGGTGGGAAATTGTTGTCCCATCCAGCAGAGGAAGAAAGAGAGAAAGAGAGTGCTTCATTCCCCAAAAGTCCAAAACCACCAGGGTTGGTACAGGCTGGAACTCAGGAACCCAAAACTCAATCCCCAACTCTCCCAAGTGAGTGGCAGAACCCCAAAGTACTTGAGCTGTTACTGCTGCCTCCCAGGGTGTGCATTAGAATGAAGACAGAATTAGAATGAGAGCCAGGGCATGGTGGAGGGGCCAACCCAAGCTATGGTTTAATTTCTACACTAAACACCTGCCTCTCAGATATGTCAAATCCCACATCAGGCCACAGCTCCATCTTAGCCTGTAGCCTTAGTCCTGCTTCTCCATACCATGTTTCCTAGGGCAAGACCCACATGCGGAGTGAGGTGGACAGGCAGAGCTTGCCAGCCCCATGCCAGTCCCTCCCTGGGCTAGGAAACTAATCACTGGAATTGGACTTGCATGCACTCCTCTTCTTGGATTGGGGAAGGTGTTCAAAAGGTGACTTCCTTTTCATCCACAGGAGTGCAGCTGCTATATAAATAAGGCTGTGTTTGGGAGACACCCAGGACTCAGCACTGAGGCAGGGCTGTCCACCCAACAGTCTGTCTTGAGTGGATTGGTTGCAGGAGATGGGGCACAGCAAATCTGAGGTTTCCTTCATCATCCAGGAGGCTGAGGCAGGTGAAGCCCCAGCACACAGAGCAGCAGTCCTGGAGCCCATGGGACTGCCCACAGGATGGGTCCATCTCAGACTGCTTGAGGTAATGGCACTGTATTCCTCCAGAGGCTGAGATTATTCTGGAACCTTCCAAAACATGCAGCTGCCTCCCCCACCAGGAGGTGGCTTGGTCCTAGAGCTCAGAGTGTCCTCTGATTCTCCCCTCCATCAGCTTCCTTGATGGCTCAAGCTCACCTTCGCCTTCCCATGTTGGCTTTAGACATGGCATTGGTATGGATGACTGACTCATGACTCAGAGATGACTATAGTTCCCTGGGGTCTCTTCTAGAATGCATGCTTCCTCCTTGGTCCCCTCCCCAGGCTTGTACAGGTTAAGCAAAAGGTGCTAAAAGGAGCTGTCCTGAATCCCCATTCATCCATCAAGCACCAAGGCAGCATGGCCTGAGAGGGGCCAGTCTCTCTGGTGACTTGGGCCCTTACTGTAAGCAGCCCATCATGCCCCACAGCTTAGTGATGGCACCCATCTTTTCTCTCTGGGTGTCTCCAACCAGACTTCTCTCAGTCATCTCCTGTCCCTCTAAGACACAACCCAGAGGCTGTTACCCAAGTTGACCTGATGTTAAAAGGGTCCCTGCCCTGTCCACTGGAAGTCCTTTCTCATGCCTACCCACAATCCCTCCTGCCACAGCGAGAGCTCAGGTTCCAAGCAGAGTACAAAGTAGCCACTCGCAGGTTTCCCAAATTCCACAGACCCACCTTGTCGATGAAGGAGGCGAATTTGTTGTTCAGGGCCTTGATCTGCTCCCGCTCCTGGCTACGCACTTTCTGGATCTCAGGGTCCAGCTCCACGTTGAGGGGGGCCAGGAGGCTCTCATTCACGGTGACCTGGTGAATACCTCCAGGTGGGCACACTGTTGGGCATATGGGTGCCAGGGCCACACTGCCAAACATGCTGCCTGCAAAGCCACTGGGCCGGTTCCGGGAATATCCATAAGTTGAGTTCTTTCCACCAGCCACGTTGAGTGAGATGCTCCGGGCACCCCCAAGGCTGTAGAGGCTTCGGCTACCAAAGCCCCCGCTGAGCCCTTTGCCCCCTGCCCGGTAGGAAGACGAGCTGCCCCCGGAGAGCACGGCTGAGCAGCCGCTGAAGCCCCCCTTGGTGGCAGATCCGGGCTTGCAGGTGAACTGGCGGCTCATGATGCTACTGGAGACGGAGCTCGGGTGTAGGAAAGGGAAGCAGGCAAAAGTCCACGAAGGTTGTGTCGGTTGTGGTGGATGCCGACAGGTGCCTTTTTATATGCCTGGTGCCAGGGCTGCTGGATGGGCGGTCGGGAGCTGAGTGCGTGGGTTTGGCTTTGCCTGCAAGCAAGAAGTCATTTTCTCTGTGCTGAGCCAGAGATCGTGAGTTCCCCACCTCTGAAACAACACGAAACCTTCAAATTGCTGGGCTTGCATGCCTGGCTCATGTAATTTGGGGCTTATCTAATTAACCTGCTGTTACAGGGCCATTTGCCAGGGGGCCTCTGGGATGGGGTTGAGGGGAGGGTTCGGCAGGTGTCCCTGGCCCTGCTGACTTCTGCCCTAGGGGTCACAAGGAGTATGGATGAGGTAGACATTCCTAGGACAGGATGGGCCACAGGAGAGAGAATCTGGGATCCCTTGCTCCATTCAGGAGGTCACGACCCCTGCATGGGCTCTTTTGGGTATGTCCTTCTCTGCAGGGCGGATTGTGGGGCTGTAGGAATGGACTGACCCCAACGTTGGAGAGGACATGGGCAACCTAGGCCTGAGCCGAGCACAGGCCCATGGGAGTCTAATGCTTCCCTTTGAGTTGACCAGGGAATAGGATCAGCGCGCTTCTCCCATCTCTAAGACTCCCTCCTACAATGCCAACTGAAGCTGGGGCTGGGTTGGGGAAGGGCAAAGACCAGCCATGCCAGCCCTGGAGGGAAGGAGGAAAGCTAAGGAAGAATGGCATGGGGGCCGATGGCTGATACATTTGGGAACCCAGCTGGCAGAAAACAAAGAAGACGGCAGGAGGGGCTCATCTGTGACCTACAGCTTCCTGGGCAGCCGTTTCACCATGCCTGTCCCTCTGCCTAGACTAGGAGCGATTTGATGTCAGGAGTCACCTGTTGAGAGTGCAAAGACAGACTGGCTGAGTTAGCTGAGACCAAAGGCCACTTGGGATCCTCACCCAGGGCACAGGCCATGCTCAGGCCAGGAGGATCCCAGCAGGGGTGAGTCCAGGGCCCTGGGCCATCCTTGCTCCGAGTTGTAGGATGGCCACTCCAGGGCCTCTGCTGCTGTCCCTCCATTCTGAAGCCACTAGCCATAGGCTGCCACACACCTGTGACCCTGCCCAGCCTCATGGCTGGCTCTGACTCTGCATGTTGTCTTTGCCCAAAGAGCCCTAGAGGACTTGGGGTAGGGGAACCAGGGAGGCAGGGAGGGTCATATGGAGGCAAGGATCTCTGGGGCTCTCCCCTGGTGTTTAAGAGCCCAGCCTGGATTCTGTTCCCTCACGACCACTCCAGTCCTCCCACACATGTTCTTCCTTACATTTTATCTTCACCATGCTTTTTGATTTCTATTTATTTGAGAGGCAGAGAATGAACTGGCAGAGCCCACAATAGCCAGAGATGGGCCAGACTGAAGCTAACTGGTTTCCCATGTGGGAGGTAGGCACATAAGTTACTCCACCTGTGCTGCCTCCCTGTGTGCACATTAGCAGAGAGTCAGAACTGGGAACAGAGCAGGGACGTGTACCCAGGCTCACTGATATGGGGTACTAGCATCTTAACCACTAGCCCCAGTGCCTCCCCATCTTCACTCTTATCATAGCTTCCAGTGTCCCACTGCCCACTGCTATCTCTCCATACCCCTACCCAGTCCCTCCTCTCCATCTTCCACTTGTCCCCCCCGCTCTAGCTCCCTTTGGCTACCTCTTGGTCTGTCGTTCCCCAACTGTGCCCTGCCCTTCCGGGAAGTCAACCTGGATTAGCACAGGCCTGAACCAAACTCTTCTCCTGTCACTCAGTCCCCAGCACGTTGCTAGCTCGTGCTGTGAGGTCAGTGACTCTGTGGATAACCGCATGAGGCTCCTGGGAAAAGCATGTCCTGTGACTGCCATGTTAGCTCCCCTTTGTGAGGATGTAGATTCTCCTTTGGGTTAGAGATGACTTGCTGTGCTCCCCCACCCTGCAGAGTGCCTATTGCATGCCTGGCATGGATCTCCATCCTCTGTCCACAGCTTGGCGAGCTGTGTGCTTCCCTGACATGCCCAGTGGGTGCCATAACTCTCACCAACCTTCAACCTCCATCTTGGTTTCTCTCTGCTCTGGCTGAGAACAACCATAGTTTTGCGGCACCATCTTCCACTCTCTCCAGAATACTGCCAAGTCTGGCACCCAACTCTTGTGATTTAAATCCCTGTGCTCACCTGAAATCTTGCTGCCCAACCTGGCTTACCACCCTCCTACTCTATGTGCTTCTCCTCTGTGCACTGACCCTTGCCTGCATGGGGACTTCTGTGCTTCCTAGAACCCAAGGTCTATTTGAGGGTCTCATGTACCTGGCCCATGTGCCCCTGGCTCTAGGACTTAACCTATCAGCTTCTTGCACTCCATGTGCTGCACATGCATGATTGGGGCAATTGTACCAGTTCATCTGTGGACCGTGCACCTGGCATGTACCTAAAGCTCATGAAGTTCTGCCAATGACCAAGGTAGGACCAAAGTAGAAAGAAGGAATTGGCCTAACCTCTGCTCGTTCCTGGCTCCCCCATTCTGGAGTGGGGGAAGGGAACTCCAGGAGCAACCCATGCCTGCACAGCATCAGACACTAGCAGTCAGGAAAGCAGGGCTGGGAGGGGGGTGAAAGTCTTAACAACTCAAATGCTTAGCCTCTGCATTTAGACCACCTTTGATACCTGACACTTCACCACCAGAAACTACAGGACTAGCCAGCATCTTGGGAGGGCTGGCAGTGTGCAAATCTCAGTAAGAAACCCGTGGCACACACCCTCTCAAGCCATGAACATGGCTCTTGAATACCCACCAAGGCTTAATGGGCAGGGCTCTCCTCAAAGACCCTGGTCTATGAGCATATGGGCGTTGTCCCCACCCTCCTCAGCCAAGTGCAGATGTCCCTGGGAGAAGCAGCTCATCCAGCTAATAGCAAGTCATTACCACCTTGGCGTGAGTTAGCTCATCAGATACCAGCCATTAGGAATGAAACAGCCCATGTTGTTGATGAGACTCAGTGATAGGGGCTGAGAGAGCAAGCACCGCTGTGCCTCCCACCGGAAGGGCGGACCTCATGGAGCTTCGGGGTACCTGCAGCTCTCCAAGGGCCAAAAGGGAGGGACACAGGTAAACCGGGGTTCACCAAGGTCACAAAGGCCAGGACTGCAACCCCCAGAGAGGTTCGAGGGGCAGGGAGGGATAGAGCAATCTGACTTGGCTGGGGAGACCCGACCCGGTAGGGGGAGGAATGCAGGGGACCAAGCTGATTCTCAGCTTTCTCGTTCCCTAACACCTGCCACTGAAGGCCTGGCTCTCTACGTGAGAATTAAATCCTGAGCAAAGCAATGTGTAGCCAGGCCTAGCCTGATCTTGGTGCGTCCAATCAGACAGAGCCCATGATATCATGAGGAAGGAACATCTTGCTTGGACAAATTAAAGGCCAGTGAACTAAACCACGTCTGTGCGCCACTTTTAGTTGTTTTACAACGAAGGTTTCTCAGGTGCTTTGGGAAGACACTCTCACTTGCATACCAATCAAAAGTCACCCAAATCAGCTCTTCCTTCAATTCCTTCTTGCATAAACTTTGGAAGTTGTGGATGAGAAAGGTGTGGCTGTCCATATACTTTCTGCACTGAAATTATGGCCAGGTTGAGACATTCATCTGTGAATGGAGGCATGGCACATTTGCTCATCCATATCAGCGCTTTTGGGTCAGATGAGCCAGCTGCAGAGAGAGCAGAGAACAAACCAGTCCCTGTCCAGGGAAGGGGACTTGGATGTGTCTCTAAGGGGAGAAGGTTTGGGTAGGCCGGCAGTGAGGAGTGGAACACATGAGCCCACACTGGCAGGAAACAGGTCCTCCCTGCTGGAGCAATCCCAAGTGAAGGGCAACTTTGCACAAAGAGATTCCACATCCTAGGTTGTGCATAGGGGAGCGGGAATGGTAAGGGGCCACTGAGGACTAGAGATGAGGGAGAACCTAAGCAATGCATGTTTGAGGAAGTGGAATCTGGCTATTGGGTGGGTAGGATTAATGGGAGTGGGAAGGAGTTAGACATACTACCAGGGGGCAGGTGGTTCTCTGAGCAACTAATTAACTCCAGAATTAGAGAAAGAATGAGCCACACTATTTGGATGAGATCAGCTCAAGTCCTGGCAGCCCTGAAGGAAATGAGCTTGTTGATCAGGACGCTTGCAGGGGTCCCCACCTTGCACTCCTCGACCTCTTGTCATTTCAGGGTGGGGGGTGGATTGGTGACCGGGCTCTCAGTCCAAGCCAGTGGCTGCATCACAGCCCCCTGGGGGATTGGTCATAATCAGAGCCACTTATCAGGGGCAGGACAGCTGCTCAGCAGTTTTGCTGCTGGCAAGGCCGCCGGTGAGCTCACGCCAGAGGAGCCAGGGGTATATATGGGATGTGGGAGGGCTGTGCTGGTGGAACTTAGCTCTGCACCCATCCTGCTGGTTTGTGAACCGACAGGAGCCTTTCCTTCTGGGACAGGTCCGTCTCATCCACTGCCCTAGTCCTCCTGCCCTAGTCCTCCTGACTGAGTACGACTGGAGCCACTTGCTTCCATCAGCCCCACTCCAAGCCACAGGTGGAGTAGACATGGGATCCAAGGACGCAGGTCCCAGCCCTGCTCTGGCCACTTACAAGCCAGGTGACTGTGAGAAGGTCTCCACCCTTCCTGAGTCTCTGAGAAGAGGGTGCCTACTCCACCTACTCCCAAGGTGGCTAGGAGGCACCTTGTAAGTAATGATGATGATGATGGTGATGATGATGATAGTGGCTAACCCTTGGGCAGTGTCAGCTCCGCCCCAGTGCTGCTCCAAACACCTCCTATTAACTCATTCAGCACTCACAACAGCCCTGTGCAGTGGGTGCTATCATTATCCCCATTTGTTAGATGAAGACACTGAGGCTTAAGGAATTGGAGCAGCTGTTCAACATCACACAGCTTGTGAGCCCGTGTTCCCCAGCTCGAGCCCAGGCATCCACACTGCCCTGGTGTTCTCACCTGGAAATCTTTTACGCAGGCTTGATGGCAAGCGGAACCGGGGGATGGACAAGATGGATCCTCGGACTCCTGCCCAAGACATCTGCCGAGGCTCCCCACCCCCGTAGGTGGAGGGAAGGCTGGGATCCACGTGGGCACATGGCATTGACTCAGCAAACTCCCTCCACTGGCTCTCACAGACACATAGGGTGTGAATCGGTCTCTTTGACCAAAGCCCAAGATGTGGGCGGTTACTTACACAAGCGCATAGTTAGTGGACACAACCTGTGGTTCCCTGACACTAGGGGCTGGCTGCTGGCCACCGGAAGTCTAGCATGTCTGGAGGAACAACCTTGGCCAGTCAAATAGTGGACATGAACTGGCTTCTTTCACCCAGGATTGTGTTTTCCAAGTTAATCCGCAAGTAGAGGCATCCATCCATATGTGGTTTCGTTTTCATGGCTGAATACAATTGTGTTGTGAGTTTTTAAAAGATTATTTAAGAGGCAGAGTGAGATGGAGAGAGACAGAGACAGAGAAAGAGAGAGAGAGAGAGCACCCACATCTACTATTTCATTCCCCAAATAGCCACAACAGCCAGGGGTAGGTCAGGCCCAAAGCCAGGAGCCTGAAACTCCATCTGGGTCACACACATGGGTAGCAGGGGACCGATCACCTGAGCCATCCTCTGCTGCCTTCCCAGGTGCATTAGCAGGGAACTGGATCAGAAGCAAAGTAGCTAGACTCAAACTGACACTCCAATATGGGATGCCAGTGTTGCAAGGGGCAGTTTAACCCACTGTGCCATAACACTAGCCCTGTGTATCAATTTCATCTTCTTCCCATTCGTCCCTGCTGGGCCTTTGGCAGCTGTGAGGTGTGTGTGCTTGGGTCCAACAGAGCCCTTGTTTTCAAGTCTTTGGGATGCATATCTAGCAGTGGAATTGCTGGGTCCTATGGCCATCCTCTCTAATTTTTTGAAGAATTGCCAGAGTTTTCCCAGGATCCAATTGGACAGTTTTTGTGCTTACCACCCAAGCAGGAAGGCTACAATTCCCCTACATCCTGATCAACTTCTGGTGTCATCCTAGCAGGTGTAAATGGGTCCCTCTTTAGGAGTCTAATTCCTATTTCCCTAATGGTGAGTCACTGGCAGCATCTTTGCATGTGCTCATCAGTGATGTGTGTACCTTGACTTGAGAAAAGTCCATGAAAAGCTTTTGCCCTTTATTTTTGAACTTGGCTGTCCTTCTACTGCTGAGATTGAGTTCTTTATATATATTTTTAAAGTTTATTTTTAATTACAAAGCAAAGGAGGGATAGAGAAGGTCTTCCATCCACTGGTTCACTCTCCAAATGGCTGCAACTGCCAGAGCTGAGCCAATCCAAAGCCAGGAGTTTCTTCTAGGTCTCTCACAAGAGTGTAGGGGCCAAGGACCCAGGCCGTTCTCCACTGCTCTCTCTTCCAGCCCATAAGTAAAGAACTGAATTGGAAGTAGACCAACCGGGACACAAACTAGAGCTCATATGGGATGCTAGCACCACTTGATGGAGGATGAAACTGTTGAGCCGTGATGTTGGCCCCTCTTTATATAGCCTAAGCACAAGGCCTTTGTCAACTTTACAACTTATAAATATTTTCTTTCACTCTGTAACCTGTATTTTCATTTCATAGGAAGTATGTACAGAATCTTTAATTTTAGTAAAGTCCATTGATAAATTCATACTTTGGGCATCACATTCAAGAATTTATTGCCAGATTCAAGATCATGTAGATTTTTTTTTGTTTAAAAAATCATTTTATTTATCTGAAAGGCAAGGTTACAGAGAGGAAAAGAGAGAGACAGAGATCTTCCATCTGCTGGTTCACTCCCACAAATGGCCACAATGGCTGGGACTGGGTCAGTCTGAAGCCAGGAGCCAGGACCTCCTATACCCATGTAGGACCCAAGTGCTTGGGCCATCCTCCACTGCTTTTCCCAGATGTGTTAGAAGGGAGCTGGATGGGAACTGGAACTGCCGGGACTCAAACCAACACCCATATGGGATGCTGGCCAGCTATGCCACTGTGCTGGCCCCTTGATGGTTTTCTAAGAGTTCTATGATTTTTAGGGTTTTTTTTTTTTGCATTTAGGTTGTTGACCCAACTGCATTAATTCCACATATGATGAGTCAGGGGTTCTACTTCATATGTGGGCATGTAGCTGTCTAGTTGTGCCAGCCTATTGGCTCAAGAGACTGTTCTACCTGCTCTCACCTCACCTTGAATGACCTAGGCACCCTGTACAATAGTCAGAGACATGAGGAAGTGAACATTCATCTCTGCTTCCATCCCTGTCACTTCTCCTATTGGGCCACAAAGGAGTCTCTGAATGAGCCCTAAAGCAAGAGCACGGCCACTCCTGTGTATTTCCCAGGATCCAAATTAGGCCCAGGTGGCAAGGACTCTATTTCTCAGGCAGACACGCTATAACCAGGAGGCTGCCCTGCACCTTCCCCAATGCCCCCCCCACCCGCAAGAGCACCTACCACATCCCAAGAACCTCTGGCCTTTTACCCAAGCACCCAGGGCTAGATGTGTTGGCCTTCCAGCAGCATCAGGGCAGGTGTGCCTCCTGCTTGCCCTGTACCCTGGAACAGGTGACTTCTGGGCCATTTTGTGCATTCCCCACAAGCTGTTTCAGATGGTGGGTTGTATTCATCTCCTCACTGCAGTCTTTCTACTGGGTCACCCACTGGCTGTGTTGTATTTGAGGAAAAGCAGAGCTCCAGTGCCATGAAGAGCCCTGGGGGTATCTGATCCCAGAGCGACTAACCTGGGGCACATGACCCCAGTCAGAGGCATCCTGGGTCTGTGAGCCATGAGTCTGCCCATGCCAGGAGAGAGGTCTGCAGCTCTCATTGCATCCCAGAAGAGCTCATGGTCCCACCCAGGAAAGAATCCACTGAGTGTGACAGATTATTGCTAGGTGGTTGGGCTGGGACTCCCTGAGCCCCAAGGTTATAGTCCAGTACCCGGGGCAGGAGAAGTCTGTGGACAGGAAGTTCACCACACTTCCTAAGGTTTGCTGTCACCTAGATGAGGATCTTACTCATCCACAAAAGGCACGGGGAGGGAGAGGTCACCTCCGAGGGCCAGAGGTCCCACCCCCACACCCCCACACCCACATACCCACACACCCACACACCGCACACACCACACACCGCCCCCCCACACACACACCCCCACACACCTACACATTTGTTCCCTGTTGTTCTGTGAGGTTAAGCATCGCTGCACCTGTTACCAGAAATCTGAGTCCTGCCAGTCCAAGGTGATGGTCATTATTGCTTTCAGGAACTCTGAACCATGCGCGCCCTCCCAATCCTGCCAAATAGGCACACGGAGCCTGCCTGCCGGACTACTACCAGGGCATGGCTGAAATTATCCCTCCAGGAGTTGAGGTGCCCTTCTTTCTCTCTCTTTGCCTAATCTCTCTTCTTCCAGGAAGCCTTCCTGTGTTAGCCACTCCATTCTGGTCATAGCTTCAGCAGGCCACACAGCCGTGTGTGTGTGTGTGTGTGTGTGTGTGTGTGTGTGTGTGTGTGTGTGTGTGTTTCTCCCAGCAGCCCGCGGTCACCTGCATTGTCTCTGCTGGTTTGGCCTCTGGCTGCCCAGTATAGCCACATACAGGTGCAAGTGGGAGCAGATGATAACAGGGTTCATTGGAAAGAGGAGCGGGGAAGGGGGAATAGCCAGCCAGATGTGCACCTCTGCCACCATGCAGGGACCTTTTATTAAACACACAGCAGCAAACTTCAGAGCCCTCAGCTGAAGCAAAGGAAGCATCAGACACCACCGTTCATAGAAACGTCTTTATAGTACTGACCCACACAGTCACTGGCTGGGTGCTACCACCCAGTGCAGTGGAACTAGCTGTGCTCCCTGGACTCAGCCCCAGTCAGAGGTGCCTCATCTTGCAAAGATCCGTGAGACACAGAAGCCATGCAGCCAGGGGCCTGGCTCACACAGGTGCCTGGCCGAGGGCGGCCACTGTGCTGATAAGCGAGAGGGTGGAGAGTGAATGACAGGAGATGGCAGAAATCTCTACTTCTCTTTCACCCTGCTTTGCAAAGAGGGGCACGGTGAACGAGGGTCCCAAAAAGCCCCCTTGGAGCATCCTGCCAAAGACCATGGTGATGGCACAGGGTCTACCTGTAGGTCACACGGTTCCAGATTCACCACCTTGGAGGCCGAGAGGAGGAGGAGTCCAGCCTACAGACACCTGCTAACTTGAGCCATCCCTTCTCTCCCCATTTCTCGCTCTCCCTGGAGGTGGGCAGAGTTTGCTTAGAGTGGAGGAGGTCATTACTGACTGTGCCTGCAAAGCCTTGTGCCAGCAGAGGGCACAAGAAGTCACAAAGCCCCCATGGTACCTAAGAGGAAAGGCAGGTGCCCATCAGAGAAAGTCCCAGTGCAGAGAGCCCAGCAGACACTGTGCAGGGCTGGTGCCGAGGGTGCACCGGGCAAGCCCTGGGCAGTGTGGCAAGCATCATCTCTCCTTCCAGACCCCAAGTGAGGCCAGTTGGGGTGGGGACTGCAGGCTTATCGGGTGGCCTTCCTGCCTGATGGTGTGCTGCCAAGGGCATTCTTGCCCTGGAGGTCCTTGGCGTCTCTCACTCTTGCGCCTGTAGCCTTGACCGGCCTGCTTTGGGTGCTGCCAGAGCTGCCTGCCACACTGCTGGTCCCGAGTTCAGACCCCAGGGAGCTGGGGTGGTAGCCATAGCTGTAGTTGCTGCTGCTGATGACGGCTAGAGCGAGTGAGGGGAACAATAAGTGTCCATTAGCAAGCGATAATAGTCCTATGACTGCAGACCTGGGGAGGAGTGTGTGTGTGTGTGTGTGTGATGGTGAGGGGCTTCTCCCACCTACCACACCCAGTTTCATACACAAGGCCTGTGGTCTGGGACCCTGCCACATGCCAGACTGTGTATGCAAGATGATGAGCAGGTGGTATAGACACCAGTCCTTGCCCTCCTGGAGAGTCGAGAAAAGTATATGTTCCCGATCCTTTGTCCAGAGGGCAGCATGATCTCAGCCACTGTGGCCATTTGGACCAAAAGGGAGCCACTTCCCCTGAGGAGGTGGAAGTTTGCAAAGAATTGCTCCATCTCAGTAGTAGCTGGCTGAGCCTGGAAGGGACACTCTCAGTCCGTGCCCTAATGCCATGGGGCTGGGGATGCCCTGCCCAACCCTGTCCACTTCTCTAGGATACTCACAGATGCTCACGGGAGATGGGTTCTCACCAGACATCCTGCAGGATAGAAAATTCAAGCATCAGTCCTTGGGAACATTGGCATCTCAGGCACTTAGCCCTTCTGGGCTCCGGCTCTCAGCCACATGTCCTGGGATCTCATCCTTTTCATCTCCTAGAGTGGGAGTGATAAACTCCATTTCACAGAAGGGACATTCTGGGAGTTATCAAGACCGGGTGACCAGAATGGGCCAAGCTGATCAGCAAACCAGTGGCTACCGACACGGTGGGCTTTGCTTGTGACACGCAGCCTTATGTGGTTGCTATCTTTTTGCCTGTGTGTCTGCCGCCAGTCCCACAAGGCACTGCTCTTTCTCACCTTCTGCCTCCTGTGAGGACCTCTGGCCTCTCCACTGGACACCAATCCCTACCGCTCAATGGTTCCCTTTCCTTCAACTCTACAAGCTCCCCAACTCCATCTCCCGCACCTGCACTCCTCGCCCTCCAGCAGCTTGCGGTAGGTGGCGATCTCCATGTCCAGGGCCAGCTTCACGCTCATGAGCTCCTGGTAGTCGCGCATCATCCGGGCCAGCTCTTCCTTGGCCTGGTGCAGGGCAGACTCCAGCTCGTCCAGCTTGGCCCGGGCATCCTTTAGGGCACTGTCCCCTCGTTGCTCAGCGTCAGCCACAGCTGTCTCCAGGTTGCCACACTGAAAAGAGGGCACATGGATCAGGAAGATAATCAGGATGTTCAAATAATTCTCAGATTACATGGATATACAGCCACGTGACCCCCTCATTTGGTGGATCAGGCCCAAGCAAGCACCCAGGAAGAGCTGTAGGGCCCATGAGTTTCCTGCTGTGGGCAACTTTTTAAGGGGGTTTCTGTGGCACTCTGCAATAGCAGGTGCAGCTGAGTGTGTGGGGAAATGCCTGTCTGTCTGTCAAGTTACTGAGAGCCTGGGTCTAGCTACAGGTTCAAGTACATCAGGTGCGGGAGAATCTGGTCTGAGACTCCAGCCAGGACAGCCCTCAGGGTCAGACGGCTGAGGCCGCCACTGTGAGCAGCTTCCTGCTGCAGGACCTCTGGCCAGCGAGAACCTTCTCAACCAGGAGCAGCATGGCTGAGCCTTTCTAGACTCTTCCAGCATTCTGCAGGGAGGGACTGTCGCAGGGCTTCCATATCTCTATGGGCCACAAAGCTCCCTTCCCTTGGAGTAGCAAGCAGGTGCAGGCCCTAAACTGCAGCCTTAGAAGTGGCTTGCAAGGAGCATGGGGATGTGCAATCAGATGTACTCCCAGAAAGGAAAGGCTCCCAGTGTCTGTGGCTTTGCTGGCTGTGCACCCAGTGTTGCTGGAGAGACTGTTGAGTGTGACAGGAGATGAACGGGCTCGAGTGTTCTGTCTGATCTGGGGATTCCATTACTATGTGCGGCTCTGCTTTGAGTGGTCCACAGGAAGGACACCCTTCCATGCCTGTGAAACCCTCTCCCAGCTGACACCATGTTTAAGATTCACTGCCGGGGCTGTCACGGTGGTACAGTATGCAAGCCACCTCTTGTGGTGCCCAGCATTCCACATCAGAGCACTAATTCAGTCCTGAACATTCTACTTCCAGACCCAGTTCCTAATGCACCTAGGAAGGCAGTGGAGGGTAGCCCACATCCTTAGCCCTTACCACCAGCTAGGAGACCCGGATGCACCTCTTGCCTCCTTGCCTTCAGCCTGGACCAGCCCCAGCTGATGCAGCCATTCAGGCAGTGAAGCAGTAGATGGAAGCATATTCTCTCTCTCTCTCTCTCTCTCTCTCTCTGTTTCGCTCTCTCCCTCTTTGTGTATGTATGTATGTATCTCCCTCTCTCTTGTGTCCTGCCCCTCAAATATGCAAGTGCATTGAGAGCCAAATAAACCTTTAAAGAAAAGATTTGTTGCTTGCAGGCAAGACAAGGTTCCCAGGGGAGATGGAAGCAGCACTATGGCTTTGGGCAAGGATGCCTGAAGGGCCCCTCTAAGGTCATGTCCCTCCCTCTGTCTCCGGGACAGGAACTCAACATGACCACAGGGTCCCTGACCCACACCCTGTGCACCCAACACTGTCCTGTGGCCAGTGGGAGGAGGCAGGGGGCAGCACAGGACCTGCCCTGAGAGGGACACACCAGAAGCGACCCTGGATGGATTTATTGGGCCCTAAAAAGTCAATAAACTGGGTTGTAGCCCTGACCTCATCAGTAATCAGTGAGGGACCTGGCTCCACTTTCATCTCAGAGAATTGTACTCAAGGACCACGCCCATGCTCGGGGATGGAGGGGAACATGTGGACAAGGGTGCTAAAGCAGGGTGGGAGGAAGGGATGAGGGTGACTGGGGGATCCTACTTCAAGGAATCCCAGCCTTGCGGCTTCTTTGCCTCCCCACAGTGGCCCCATACTGCTCACCTGCTTCTTCACGCTGGCGATCTCACAGTGCAACCTCTGGATGAGCCGGGTCACCTCTGAGATCTCACTCCTGGTGTGTTGGAGGTCGTCACCGTGCCGGCCAGCTGCCAGCTGCAGCTCCTGGATCTACAATTCCAGAGGCAGAATGGTGGTGATGAGAATGGAAGGAGACAGGTCCTGGGAAAATGTTCCCACCTCGAAGGCAATCCAGGAGGTGGCCAGAGTGGGTGACGCGGCTGGCACCTGTTTGTCTCTGCACCCTTTGGCTGGTGGCGCTAACCCAACAGCCCACTAACTCCTTGTGACAGCTTCTTCCCTCCCTAACTGACATACAGCCTGCTGTGGGCTGGAAAAGGCAAGGGTGCCATTCACACTTCCTGTGCCCTCCCTTGCATCCTTGTATCATGCATTTGCAGAGGTATCTACTCAGGGCAGTGCTGGGAGTAGAGGTGAGGTTTCTGCAGCCCCTGTTCCAGTTACAGGGTTCAGAGGCCAGGGGAATCAGAGACCCCGGGTACCCTTGGGGTGGTGTGGTATGAACCAGATGAATAGGACTTCCAGCTGAGGAGGCCTCTAACTCACCCTGCCTCCCTCCCTGCCCGTTGCTGGGCCTCTGGGGAGGAGGAAATGACATGGTTATGGACAGGGGAGGAGGAAAAGGAAGAGACTGAGAGTGAGCTGTACCTGCTGTTCTGACTGATGGTGGCCTGAACAAGCATGGAAAGGAGCACTGAACTGGGACCCTGGAGTAACTCAGCTGCTGAGGATGCCCCAGGACACCCCTTCATCTCAGAAGTCCTCCTATGCTGGTCAGGAGAGTGTTCAGGCTCCCTCCGCCTCAGCCCCACCCCGTGCACCTGTAGCCACACTCTTCCCCTTGTGTGTTTGTATGACAGGAGTGCCTCGAGGCCTCCCTTTGTCCCCCTCTCTGACCAGACCTTGGCTTCTGTTTGCAAATCACCTCTGCTGGGACCTCATTTGCCACAGAGTCATTGGCTGTGACCATGCCTTCGTCCAGAATTGTTCTAGAAGATGTCACAGGTGCAGAGGCCCCTCCTGGGAAGCCAGGACCACTACATGATGCCCACCTTGGTCTGGTACAGCGCCTCGGCTTCGGCTTTGCTCTTCAGGGCAATGTCCTCATAGTGGGTGCGGACTTCGGCGATAATGCTGTCCAGGTCCAGCGAGCGGTTGTTATCCATGGACAGGATGACAGAGGTCTCGCTGGCATGGGTCTGGATCTGGGCAGTTTCCTGAAGTGAAGAGACAAGGTCAGAATCAACCTCCCCCCTTGGCTTCCTGCCTCTACCACAGCAGTCTCCAGGACCCTTGGCTCAGACTGGGTCAGAAGGAAGCATACTACCACCTCCCTCAACTTCAAGGACTCCAGGAAGCAGTGCTTTCTGGGGCTGGCATTAGGGCACATTTCAGAGCACAGGTTCGAGTCCTGGCAGCTCTGCTTCCAGATGCCCAAGTGTGTGAGACCCTACAGCCAACATGGGAGAACTGGATGGACTTCCTGGCTCCTGCCGTTGACCTTGACCCAGCCTGGCCACTTCTTGGCTAGCAGCCAAGAAACCGTACTTCAAGAGGGACTTCGTGAGGTTGTTCTGTCCATGGGCAAGGCCACTCTCAGCCCAGCCTCAGTATCCTGCTCTGTCATGATGAGCCAGTGCAGGTTTTACAGCTATCTGTCAAAACCCCTCCCTATTTGGGGGCTCTCAGCCCCTCCCTCAGGCCTCCCCCTGGCAGTGTGTGCCAGAAACAAGTTGGAGCAGAGTGAATAGAGAGCAACAGGGGCCTTACCGCCTCATAGAGACACTTAAGGAACTTGATGTCTTTGTCCAGGGAGTCCACTTTGGCCTCAAGCTCCACCTTGACCTTGTACGCTGCGTCTGCATCCTGCCAAGGGGTCCCCAGAGCCAGTTGGGAATGTGACCCAGTCCTCAGCTGCCTGGTTCTGCCCCCTGCCCCTGGCCCCACAGCCATCTGAGTTCTGCTCTTGGCTCACACAAAGGGGCAAATGAGTGGGCACAACCACTCTGTGTCCCCATGTCTGCCTCCGTCCACCACCTAGACATGCCTTCCTCTGCTAGGACGCCAAGCCACGACCCACGGTGGCTCCTGCAACCCACTCCCTCCCCTCCACTCCCCAGCAGCCTGGACTGAGGCTCCCCCAGTCCCATGCAGGTGTTTGGGGCAGGGAATGCAGAGGCCAGTGAGATGGGCTTCTGTCTTCATTACCTTCTTGAGCGTCACAAACTCACTCTCTGCTGCTGTGCGCAGGTTAATCTCAGCCTCATACCTGTGGGCAGTGAGATGCAAAGGGCAGGTGGCCTCAGGCCCTACGGCCAAGTCTAGTTACCACCTACATCCAGGATTCCAGGGTGGGCAGTCAGTGGCCACTAAGAGGAGTGTGCCCAGCCCTGTGCCCACAGGGCCATGGAGCAGCCACAGAGCCATCAGGGGTCCTTGGAAGGCATCCCTTGACCCCTTGGCAGGGGAGGGGCGGGGGCTCACTCACCTCTTCTTGTAGTCCTCCACCACATCACGCATGCTCCGCAGCTCCGAGTCCAGCCTCACACGGTCCCCGGACAGTGTCTCCAGCTGCCTTCGCAGGCTGCTGATGTAGCCCTCAAAGATGGGCTCCAGGTTGTTTCTGCAGTTTTTGAGGTCCAGCTGCTGCAGCAGCTCCCACTTGGTCTCCAGCACCTGGTTCTGCTGCTCCAGGAAGCGCACCTGCAGCCCCAAGCAGCAGACCCCTGAGCCCACCATGGATACGCTCACATCCCGTAGGCTCCCCAGGAGACACAGATCTGGGTCCAGGCCTTTGGTACACCTGACGACTCCTGCAAGCCACACCCTTTACACACGCTCGTGCCTCAGCCTCCTGCAGCTGCCCTGGCTTGCTTCCACTGCCTGACCTGGTCCTGGGAGATGTCCTGCCCTATGTCTCATCCAAGTGTATCTTCCTGTGCTGTGAGCACTGAAATCCACCAGCCTTGCGTCTTTCAAGAGCTGGACAGCTCAGCTCTGGCCTTTGTAGCTGTTTGGGGAGTGAAACAGCAAATGAAAGATCTCTCTCTCTCCCTCTCCCTACCTTTCAAACAAAACCAGCAAATCTTTTGAAAAGAGAGGGAAAGAACTGGAGCTGACCCTCCCTCCCCCTCCTCATCCCATTTCCTACCTTCAGCTGCCAAACACCTCCCCCCCCCCCAAAAAAAAAGGCGACCATTCACATCCTCCACCAAGCACACGGACCTGTCCTCCCACTTCTGACCAGGGAGTCCTTCCCGGGGCTCCGAAATCACCACCATCCCACTTTGTCCTCCTACGAGTCTCACCTTGTCGATGAAGGAGGCGAACTTGTTGTTCAGAGCCTTGATCTGCTCCCGCTCCTGGCTACGCACTTTCTGGATTTCAGGGTCCAGTTCCACATGCAGAGGGGCCAGGAGGCTCCTGTTGATGGTGACCTGATGGATGCCCCCTGGTGGGCACACCGGCAGACATGTGGACCCCAGGGCCACGCTGCCAAACATGCTGCCTGCAAAGCCACTGGGCCGGTTCCCTCCATGTCCAGAGCCAGACCCAAAGTTGTAGCCACCTGCCCTCCCACTGCCACCAGCCCTATAGAAGGATGCCTGTCGATTCCCCCTGGGGCTGTAGAGGCTCCAACTGCCAAAACCAGCCCCTGCCCCTTTGCCAGGGTTGCAGTAGGAGGTCACGCCTGCAGCCCTCCTCGGCGCTATGGCCGAGTGCATGCTGAAGCTGCTCCTGTCGCCGCAAGACCTGAAGTTCAGCTGCCGACTCATGGCGGAACAGAAGGCGAAGTGGGTAGAAAGAAGAGGTCTCCAGGGCCCAAGGCATCCACAGCTGTGGTGCCCAGCCTGCTGCCTCCTTTTATCCTCTGCTGAGCCCACGACACCGGAAAAGGGCGTCTCACCACCACCACCACCACTTCACCTGCTGCGGAGGCCCCGGAGGCCAAGGGCAATGGGCAGAGATCGCCAGCCCTTTGGAGCAGCTGAGTTCCTCTGATAGCAAGTGTGATGTGCTTGCCTTTGCACACTGGAACAGCCTAATTTGGAGTTTATCTGTGCTCCTTAATAAGGGCCGTGGGGACTTATCCCCTTCCAGATCTCCAAGCTGTCTTTTTTCAGAGCTGCCTCTTGCTTGCTCATCCACCAGCATCAAGGAGCTGGGCAAACACCTGGCCGTTATCCAAAGGGGCCCTATCAGCACACCCCAGTTTTCCTCCCAAAAGACACCACCCCCATGCTGTCTTGTAGGGGCACCAGGATATCCACACCAGGGAAGAAAAACATTGGAAATGGCAGTGAACTCACCTGAAAAGGTGGCCCCCTGGACAAGCCTCCCCACTAAGGACTAGAGCAGCCCAGTGATGAGAGAGCCACCCTGCCCCCGTCTGTACATGGCTTTCTGGGGATCTCATCTGGGGGAGAGCCTGGCTTGTGGGGTGCTTGGTGCTGCCTTTGTGCAGCGAAAGTGTCTCAGGCTACTGGGCCTTCCTGTCTTGGGTGTTACATTCTGAGAGATGGAGCAGGGACAGGGAGGGTCCCTTGCTTCTCCTCACCCATCCCCTTAGGGACAGACACATGTTATTCCTGAGTTTTGTCAACCTCATGTATACCTTGCGGAGTCCCTCACACCAGCCCCCTTATAGCCCAGAGCATCATGGTAGAGTGGGGCACTAAAAAACAAACCAATAGATGAAACCTTCGTTGCAGATTTTCTTTGCATGCATTGGGAGTGGCTGTGCTGCTGGTGTCTGTACACCAGCTACCCAGTGCCATCCTCATGACTGCGGCCCTCACTTGCACCTGTACCTGCCCCAATGGTGAAGTAGATGACTCTCAAGAGGCAGGGGCACCCTCAAGGACCACAACAGCCGGGTTGCCCACATCCCTCCCCCTGCCCCGCAGCTCCAGGCATGATCCTGTCCACCATCATCAGGTGAACACTGCCTAGGGAGGAGACCGAACGGGACATCCTGCAGCCTGTTCTTCCCACTCGTGAGCGGTGTGGCCAGTCTGCCCTCAGTTTCCTGGGATGGAGCACTTCATTTCAGGAATCTCATAATGAGCACCACCACGAGATCACATGTGACCCATGCCAAGGATGTACTGAATGTGCCCTTCCATTCTGATAACCAGAAGATCGTCTCTGGAACCCAAGGTGGAGTCATCAAGTTATGGAAAAATCTGGATGCTTGCAACTGCCAGGATGAGAGGTACATGGGCATCTTGTGTCCACTTGTCACTCAACAGGAAATCCTGCCATCATCATTGCCTGGGGCTGAGCAAGCTGGTCAGGATGTAAAATCCAGCAAACAGCAAGCTTAAGAGCAGCCATATTGGCCGCCCGGGTAATCAGAACGCTGGTTGCAGCAGGGGAGCCTGCCTTAGGCAGGGGGTGGGAACAATGCCCTAGGCAGGAGCAGGTATTCAAGCCTGGGACACACCTGCAGCACTTTCTCCTTCAGAGTGGTTCCCTATCGCCCTGAGGCCATGACAAACAGACCCTGTCTCCCAGTCTTAGCCCGGCCGGAGGGCATGGAAAGACATCATTAAAGCCATGCGGCTTTCTGAGACAGCTGTGGGAAGGAGGTTAACAGGGGTGCTATGTCCCTTTGAGTGCAGCTCTGATGATGACGGGGAGCGGGGGACATTCCCTGGTCATCTGAGGTCCCAGCCCTTCAAGAAGCCTACAGAACAAGGAGAGGGATCTACACATGGAACAGAATCCAGGAGGCCACAGCTCGTGCTGGGAGCTGGGGGTGCCAGGCGCTCAGCCTGGGGTGGAGAGGTCCCCTCTGATAGTGGCAGCCATGGTCCCAAGTGAAACTGTGGACAATAGTGACCAAAAGCCTGATCGCTCCGTAGCAAGGCTGAGCTGGGACTGGCGTTCCCCAGCACCATGCTCTGAGGCAGACTCGCACAGCCCTCCTCATGGCAGGTGGGAGGCCTGGCGGCTGGGTACAGCCCAGGCCTGGGTCCCTTGTGTTTCTACTGTTCCATTTCAGGCTTTGGTGATAAGAAGGGCATGGGGCAAGGGGAGGGGAGGCTGCCGCTGAAACAAGGTCCCGCATATATTGCTTCTCAGCCTTTTGGCTAAGATCAAGTGCAGGGCCTTTACGTAAGCTGGCTTCTCAAGTTCAAGTGTCCCGCTGGGGTTCAAAGGCAAAGTTAACCCAAATGGGAACTGGCAGAGGGAAGGGGAAGGCTGGCGCTCACAAAACTCCCTGATCACCAACCCTTGGTTACAGGGCTCCACGGAAGAATGAACCATGATCCTGGATGCCCTGGCTTCCTGGAGCCAAGGTTTACATGTCTGTGGCTTGCAAAGTCTGTGCACAAGCCTCATCTACCAGGACAGCCAGATTTCTTATTGGGAACCCTGTCCACAGAGCATTTATGAAGGAGGGAGAGACACAAGGTGGGCCTGCAAGGCTGGCAGCAGCTCTGGGCAAAGCAGAAGAGATGGTCAGGTGTGAGTGAAAAAGCTCCAGACTGACTGAGCCTGTGATTGCTCAGATGCCATAGCAAAGCCCGGGAGCAGGGGCCACGGGCAGGGTAGCGGACGACTGCATCTCTTTGTATATTTGGAAATGTTCAACATGGGCTGGACGCTGCTCTCAAGGACACAGGGTCGTCGGCGTGACTGTTGAATGGTGGTGATGGCCAGGATGGTGATGGTAGTGGTGATGAAGAGGGTGATCGTGGTGGTGATGGTGGTGGCTGGCAGTAACCATGGTGACAGTGACATGGTGGTGAGGGCCAGGCTGGAGGTTGTGAAAGAGGAGGAAGTACAGACAGGAGGAGTTTCCTTATAACCATGTTACAGTCACTGCCTCACATAGAGGCTCCTCCTGTGGGATTCCTAGGAAACGTAATTGCAGGGTAATTGTCTCTGTTCTATGCAGGAGGATCTCCAACTGCTCCAGCCCTCTAATTAACCATTGCCTGCCCCACCCTGGTCCCTGCATGCGCTGCTGGACCCAGGAACGTCCCAGGGCTGAATCACGCTGACTCATCCTCGAGCCGCTACCGTGTGCTCAGCTGCATGCTACACGTGCCGTGGGCTGCCCAAGGCACCCCCTTCGCTCCCTAGAAAGATAACAGAGCTGGAGGAGATGGAATACAGGACCTGTGGGAATGGGTGTGCTGCTGTCTCTGCTGAGGTTCTCAGTCTACATGTCTGTATTGGATCGTGGACTTTAAGCAACGGCCTAAGACAAGCAGGTGCCGACACTCTGGTTAAAAATCAAACGGAACAGAATGGGCACAGGTAGAGGGTGTTGTGTAAGACGGCCCCACCCCACATCGGAGAACATGGGTCTGACTTCCAGCCCCAGTTATCGACTCTAGCAGGTACAGACCCTGGGCAGCTAAAATAATTGGGTTCCTGCCACTCACATGGGAGATTGGAAGTGTGTTCCTGGTATTTGGCTTTGGTTCTAATCATTGCAAACATTTGAAGAGTAAACTAGTGAATTGGAGCTGTGTGGGTGTGTCTCAAATAAATCATAAACTTTTCAAAATAAACAAGTCAATAAAATAGAACGAGAAACACTTGAATACCTACTTTTTATTAACCTTAAGTCTTCTCCAGCCTTGCATTTTAAAAAAGCAAAAATCAGGTTAAAATAACCGTTGGGCTACCTGAAGTGGGCATCTGGCAAGGCAAGGTCATCACCAAGACTGGCAGGTACATGTGCACTGGGGCAGTGAACAGCTGTGCAGGTTGCATGAGAACTCAGATCCCCAGGGAAAGGTGTAGCTGTGGGCTCTGTGGGCTCCAGCATTCCCCTTTCCTGCCACCTGCGGACAGTACAGAATCCAAAAAGCTGTGGAGGGCCCAAGGTGCGGGCAGCCTCGCAGAGCCAGGGTTTAAGGTCAAAGAGTGGTACGTGTGCTGCACAAGGACATCAGTGGAGGGCATGGCTGTCCCAGGAAGCCCAAGGAGCTGAACTCCCCTCATCCTGGATCAGAATATCCCTGGTGTGGTGAGAGTATGTTGCACAGGAGGCAAATATGTTGCACAGGAGGCTAATGTTTCAAGGTGGAGAGGGGCCCCAAATGGACATGACCTCTACTGGGCTTGGGCTGAGTCAGGTAGGCCCCTATCCCCTCGTCCTGTGGCCTTTTGCTTGCCCCCAGACATGGAAGAAAGCCAGATTCTGTAAATCAAAGTCATTCGCAGAGCAAGGAAGAAGGAAGCTTGAAAAACGCTCAAGGACAAGACAAAACCTGTGTCAAACCCATGACATCTATGGGACAGAAGCCGGACTCATTCTGACTGCCCAGACAAGTTTGAAAAGAGCAAAAGAGGCCTTTCTGCACCCTGTTGCAATCAAGGTAGCTTCCGTCCGCTCCTCTGCCTTTCTTTCTGTGCTTCTGCTGACAAGATAGCCCAGCTCCAGGAGCTTCGGGTCCGAGCCCATGGGACATGCAGCGTGGGAGGTGGAGAGCTGTTGTTGCCAGCAGAGGGTGCTGCATTCTCTGGCTATTGGAGGCTGCTCCTTTCCGAGTTCCTAAGACCAACTTGAGTCATTCCCTGCTCTGCCTACACACCCACCAGTGCCTCTTCTGCTCACTCTCATGCATGCAGGGGCCCTCAGCTTATTAAGAAAACCCAGATGGCCCGGCACGGTAGCTTAGTGGCTAAAGTCCTCGCCTTGCATGCACTGGGATCCCATATGGGCGCCAGTTCTAGTCCCGGCAGCTCCACTTCCCATCCAGCTCCCTGCTTGTGGCCTGGGAAAGCAGCCGAGGATGGCCCAAAGCCTTGGGACCCAGCACCTGCATGGGAGACCCGGAAGAAGTCCATGGCTCCTGGCTTCAGATCGGCGCAGCATCGGCCGTTGCGCTCACTTGGGGAGTGAATCATCGGATGGAAGATCTTCCTCTCTGTCTCTCCTCCTCTCTGTATATCTGACTTTGTAATAAATAAATAAATCTTAAAAAAATAAAAACACTGGTGTGGAAGACACTTGTTAGAAAGAGAGCAGCGGCCTTCCCCCTTGCCCAGCACCTCCCGCTTCCCTGGCAGCAGCAACACTGGAGAAGTCATGGCCTACTTTGGCCATAAGCTGCAGGACCCAAGGGCACTTTGTCCTGTGGGCAGATGTGGCCCATGGCCAGGGACCTCAGTCCTCCACTTGCTGCCCCTTACTGGGCCCTGGCGGTGGGAACTACCACCAGGTCTGCCCCAACCAAGGCAGCCTGGCTGCAGCTCCAGTGAAGGCCAAGGAGGCCTCAGCTTCCCTGGCAGGTTGCCAGCTCCTCCAGGCATGCCTGAGCCCCATTGCCCAGTCTCACCAGCTTGCTCAGGCCCTGCCCACTAGGAGACTTGCCCTGCCCAGTTTCCCTTCATCTGGCTCAGGGGTCTGCAAGCTGGTGCTTGGCCCTCCCTAGCTCTGAGGACTGCTCGTTCTCAGCAGACCTTGGCCTAGGTTCTGCCAAGTTCCTCCATTTCTCTCTCTCTGCCTGCTCAGCTCCCAGATGATGGACAGGCACCTGTGCTATGAACCCTAAGCACCACAGCTCCACCCACTGCCCCCCACTCCCTGGGCAGCCCCTTCCTGCCTGGATGCACACAACAACATCCAGACAAGTGCCGTCTTGCTCTGGGCAAAAACTCCTCCTCCTCCTTCTCTTCCCTGTGCTCTTTTTAAGAGGCCCCAAACCGGGTAACCTTCCAGCCACCCTCCCCCCCCCTTCATCTCCGGCCCCCTACCTGCCCCAGCCACTTCTGGGAGAAGCAGAAGGCACCTTCTAACCACCCCACCCCTGCTCCAGCTTGCCTCTGTGGCAATCACATGGTTCTTTTTGGAAAGACACGCTGAAGCAAATGCTTCCGTCTTCTGACCATGACTGTGAAGTCGGAGGCTTGACCCGCCCCTTCCTCTACCTGTTTGCAAAGTCAAGGCGCGGAACTGCACAGTGGGCTGTAATTAAGCCACATCATTGCTAATGACAGCCCTGCCTGTCTGCTACCAGCCCTGTCCAAACAGGAAGGAGAAGCCCAATTCCTCCCAAGCCTAGGGTGTAGCCCAGGCCTCAGGGGAAGGACAGTGGTGGGGGCCTGAAAAGGGGGACACCTGCTTCCCGTGTGGTGGTGGACTAGGGGAGGAATGGCCACCCCCAGTGCCCCCACCGTATAAATTGAGCCTGATGCTAACATCTGAAGCTCAAGGTTGGGGTGAGGGGATAGAGTGTAGTTTCTCCCTCGGGACCTGAGGCCACAGCCCAGACCTTCAGCAAAGTTCCCTCCTGTACCCCATGCTACAGAGGAGGGGCAAGGGACACAGCTCCAAGAACCCAGCCTGCAGCCCCACGCACCTGCAGAGGTACTCACGTGTGTCTGTGGAGGCCCAGGGGGTGTGACAAGAGCTGGAAACCACAGCCCTAAGAGGAAGGGATGCTCTGCTCCAAGGAGCAGGAGGTCAGTAGGGGCCCACTGGCTCCTGGCTAAGGGTAAAGGTAGGCAGCGTGGAGCCAGGATGGAGGCTCCATGTGCCAACAGGGAGCTACAGAGAGGGCTCAGAGCAACCACAGCAGAGAAGCTTCTGGAAAGTGATGGAAACAATGAAGACCAAGGGGACAGGGAAACATAGCTGTACTCTACTCAGAAATTATCCTGTCGGGGGAAGGCATGCTAATACCCCCAAAGGGGACCCTGGAGGTCCCTGGCAAAGGGCAGCTCACATTCCCGAGCCACCAGCACCAAATGGGGCCCAAAGAGCTTATTAGGATCTGTCCATCTCCACCAAATCCTGTCTCTTTCGCCCCTTCCTCCAGAAGGTTTTCTCAGATTGTGTCCAGCCTGCCACTGTCCTTCCCCTGTAGACCCTTGGCTGTGCCCTGCAGGTGCTCACAGGCCTGGAACACCTGCTGCCTAAAGATGAGTTTGCAGAGGGTTCCACCTGTAGCCAGGGCTGGGTTGCACACGGTACAGGCAAGAGGGTCGTGGTGGGGCCTCTGGATTGGCAGAAGAATCTGGGGCACGCTGGACCTCTGGCTAAGGGGAGAGGTCAGAGGGGACAGTGATGGGAAGCAGCAGCCAGGGCCCAGCCAACACAGAGGCGGGGCCAGCCTGGGTACAGCCAGGGAACTGAACAGCCTCCCACAGGCTCAAGGTTGTGCAGGAAGCAGAGCTAAGGGAATGGAGGTGCAGTACCTGGGGACGATGGCAGAGGGCAGTGTGTGCACAAAATAGAGGCAGCACTGCCCAGAGTTTTCCAACTGGGATAGGAGCAGCTCATGACTGCAAGGATGGGTGTTCAGCCCCCGACATGGCTCATCTCATTTTCTTAGGCCAGGTCTCTGCTGCTGGTAAGCTCAGCCGGTAAGCTCATAGCTCCCTCAGACACCCACTAACCCTACATGCTGATGCTGCCAAGTGGCAACAGACCACAGAGCCACCCAGCAGAACGAACAGTTCCTCCCGCCCAGCACTACAAGTGCCAGGCAGTCCTGTGCGGACACTGAGGTAGAGGACAGCCCTGTGACACTGGCCGTGCATGCAGCTGTGGTTTGGTTGACAATGGCAATGATGGCTGATGACCCGCCAGACACAACAATTTGAACAAGTACGCACACACGCAAGCCTCACGCCTTAGGGTGAAAACAAAACAAAACAAAAAACCAAACCAAAACAAAAAAACTTCAGCCAAAAGAAGAGGAGAGCTGGGTTGAGTGGTGACAGGAAAGGGAGGAAGTGACAGAAGGAAGAGTTGAGCGAACCAGCACAGCGGGTGGCAGGAGAGGCAGCCCATGCCAGGCCAGCTGCAGCAAGCAGCAGTCCAGGCGTGGTGCTCTGTAGCAAGGCCAGAACACCTGTCTCCGTGACCACAGTTCAGAGCAGGTGACAGAATCTCAGCTACTGCCCAGTCTCAGCTACGGCCCCTGCCTACCCAATTAACAGGGCAAAGCCCCCCCGGGTGGGCCTGCATCCAGCAACTACGAGTGACACACAAACTCAACAGACCCCACACTGAGACCCAAAGTACAAGCAGGCTGGGTCCTCGCCAAGACTTGCCTTCAAATTTGATTTCACACAAGGCAGTACTGGGATGCGTGACCTAAAAGATTTGCGGGTGGGGATACTGAAATAGATTCACGTGAGCCAGGCACAGTGGTGTAGCACACTAATCATCCATCTGCAGTGCTGGCATCCCGTATGGGCGCCTGTTTGTGTCCCAGCTGCTCCCTGCTTGTGGCCAGGAAAAGCAGTAGAGGATGGCCCAAAGTCTTGGGACCCTGCACCCACATGGGAGATCCCGAAGAAGCTCCTGGCTCCTGATTTCAGATCAGCTCAGCTCCAGCCACTGCAGCCATTTGAAGAATGAACCAGTAGACGGAAGCTGTCTTTCTCTCTCTCTCCTTTCTCTGCAAAATCTGGCTTTACAATAAAAACATAAATCCTTTTTTAAAAGATTGACGCCTTTCTCTTTCTCAAGAGGCTGGCTGAGCTTCTGTGGGAAGAGGTTCTAGTGAGAACTGTGGGCATGGAACCTGCCTGGCATCTCCCCCGCTCAGTCGTGACACACACACCCCCTCTGCTTCCCACCATGCTGTGACGCAGCAACCAGCTCTCTAGGGCGCCATGCAGGTGCTGTTCCCAAGCCCTTCAACTTTCAGAACCACGAGCCAGATTAAGCCTATCTTCCTCCCTCCCTCCCTCCCTCCCTCCCTCCCTTCCTTCCTTCCTTCCTTCCTTCCTTCTTTCCTTCCTTCCTTCCTTCCTTCCTTTCTTTCTTTCTTTCTTTCTTTCTTTCTTTCTTTCTTTCTTTCTTTCTTTCCTTTCTTTCTTTCTTTCCTTCCTTCTCTCTCTCTCTCTCCCTCTCTCTCTCTCTCTTTCTCTCTTTCTCTTCCTTCCTTTATTAAAAAGACCAAAATAACCATATTGGTCAGCCAGGGCTCATTTGAAGCCAGGAGCTTCTTGTAGACCTCCCACGAGGGTGCAGGAGCCCAAGGACTTGGCCCATCCTCTCATGCTTTCCCAGGTACATTAGCAGGGAGCCAGATTGGAAGGGAAGCAGCTGGGACTTGAACCCCCCATCCTCATATGAGATGCCAGCTTTGTAGATGGTTTAACCCACTGTGCCACAATGCTGGGCCCCCTCACTCCTTTATTAAAACAATCCAGTCACAGATACTCTGCTATGGAGACAAAATGGACAAAGACATATGGCTTGGGTGATTTATTGCAGAAGAAGCAGAGAGCCAGACACAACACCAACCAGAGGCCATCAGGGATATGCTGCCCTTGGCAGTGAAGACCTAAGAAGGTGAGCCTGCTCCTGGGAGCCCCTGGGGTTCTGCATGTGAGCTATGACCACCGACAGTGTCTGAGCAAGAGGTCACAACCACGGGGTGGGAAGCAGGCCTGGACTTCCTGTGAACACAGCACAGAGGTGACGGCATGGAGGTAGGGTGACTGACAGAACACTTTCTGAGTTGGAAAAGGGCTAAGGGGGCACAGAGAAGAGGCGGGGAGGGACGGGGCTGCACCCTCCACCCCTGGAGCCGAGGGTCTGGGCCTCATCGGGGGCCCTTCTTGGCTGCACTGCCGCTGCCGGAGGTCCTGCCCAGGGAGTCTTTGAACTCACTGGTGCCACCGCTGCCCTTGGTCTTGATGTCCGCTGCCACGGGCTTGTAGGTGTATGTGCCAGGGCCGCCAAAGCCCATGCTGAAACCAGCCCCTGCGGCCACACTGCTGCTGACGACAGCTGGAAAGGGCAAGAGTAGACCCCAGGCCCTGGTCAGGGTCCCTCCCTTGGCCCTTACTACGTCTCCACCCCCCACCCCACCATGATAGGTGGAATGCTTCCTGTGGGATGCTTTTGGTCCAACCAGAAATTTTATCTGCATCGATCATGCATGTCTTCACCTTGCACATACTTGGCCTCACATATCCCTCATACCCTTTGCCTCATTGAGATGGACAGAACCTGTTTTCTACCCAGGGTCTTCTATATGTACAGTATCATTCGCGAGCTATACAGAATTACCAAGTTAAACAGGAGCCCACTGAAGGTTGACAGAACTTCAAGTCCCACCTGTGGTTACCTCAGCCAGGCTTGGTTTACAACCACAGGCCAGGTGTTCACCAGCCCTGCCAATCCACCAGCTCCAAGAATTTATCCCCTACTGGGGACTAAACAAAGAAGGGCACAGCACAGAGGCCAGCTCATCCCGCTGCCAGAAATGGGGGTGCTGGGGTATCCCTTTCACTCAGCAACACTGCAGCTCCCCCAAGCCCTGTACAGAGCTTGGACCTCAATAAAGCTGTTTCACCTGTCCATTTCCATCATCCAGCCTCACAGTCCCCGGGCCCTCTCTTACTCTACCCCACAGCTGTTATCTGGGTCCTGGGCTCAACAGAGAAAGGACACAGCCATAACATGGCCCTGGCACATTTCACGGATGCTGTGTGCTTTCTCCTAGGCCGTGTTGCTCCTGCACCCTCGGCTTCCTGAAGCTTCCCCTGTCTGTCCTGGAACTCTCTTGGGGAATCTTGTTTTCTTTTTGTGTTATAGAACAAGAGAGACTCGAACCTGGTGAGGTAAGCCAGGGCACAGCAAAGAGCAAGTGGGTACTTACAGATGCTCACAGCGTTCGGATATTCACCCGACATTCTGTAGAGGGAGAAGAAAGATAAGTCAGTCCCACCTGAGAGACCGCTCCCTTCTCTCCAGGGACATCCCTCTGGCAAGGAACTGCTCCTCTCTGAACTGTGCCCTGCCACAGCCTCCTTCTTCCGCACACTTCCTGACACCTGCAGGCCAGTGGTTTCCATTTAAGGCATTCAGATCACTGACCATACCGGAGAACTGGGCCCCTAAACAGAACCACATTGCTCGCAGGTCGGCCCCCACACCTGCACTCCTCGCCCTCCAGCAGCTTGCGGTAGGTGGCGATCTCCATGTCCAGAGCCAACTTCACGTTCATGAGTTCCTGGTGCTCGCGCATCATCCGGGCCAGCTCCTCCTTGGCCTGCTGCAGGGCAGCCTCCAGCTCATCCAGCTTGGCCCGGGCATCCTTGAGGGCGCAATCACCCCGCTGCTCAGCGTCAGCCATGGCTGTCTCCAGGTTGCCACACTAAAAGATAGAGGAGTTGGACAGCTCACAGCCAAGCTCTGTGTCTGTCGTGGCTCACTCAAACTCTCTCACTTGCCAACAGCAAATGCTTTGAGATGCTGGTCCAACTTCATACCCATCCTGCCCTCAACTCCAGGCACAGTTCACCAACTCATGGGAGAGAGATGGGGACAGGCACTGCAAAGGTGGGCTCCCTGAGCACATGGCCCCTTCCCTCTCCCTGCTGGTCTGGAGTATCAGCTGGGAGATTCTAATTAACCTGTCAAGCTAGACTTGGCTCTTTGGTGTACAGGTTGTCTAAGGAGGGATGGTGGGAGTGTCTGTCTGTGTTCATCCAAGAAACCCACTGTGCTAAGTGTCTGCCCCCTGATCCTTTATCCTGCAGCCATGAACTTCAGACTTCAGAATTGCTGACAGTTCTACCAGCTTGCAGCTAGCTGTAGTCACATGACTTGCTGGGGCCCATGGGTCCTGCTGTGCATTCCAATCACAGCACCACATATGGAACGCTCCACCTGCCGCAGGTGCACCTGCCCTGCTCTCCTGTGAGTAGTAGACATCTAAGGAGGGGGTCGCCCTTGCCCTTGATCCTGCCCCATAGTCTCTGGCCTGACTGACTCTTCGGCAGCGCTGCCAGCAGATGTGTCCCCTAGAACTCGCCTGCTTCTTCACGTTCCCTATCTCGGAGCGGATCCTCTGAATCAGCCGGCCCAGCTCCGAGATCTCGGCCTTGGTGAGCTTGAGGTCATCCCCATGCTGGCCTGCCGTGGCCTGCAGCTCCTGGATCTAATGAGAGAGGAGAAGCACATGTCGGTGGAGAAATCACCTGTTCAGGAGTATCCAGCGGGGGGCGCCACCACCAGCTGCCCCACTCTTCAATCAGTGTAGGCACCAGTGGAGGAGTGGAGGATGGGGAGAAAAAAAATCGAGTGACAGCAAGGGACCAGCTGCAGGTCCTTGACTCCTCAAGCCTTCACTTCACATTCATGAGCCTCTGGTGCTTCTGGTGGCCCTTCATCGTTCTGTTCTCATCTCACCACAATTGGAAACATGATGAGACACTGGGACACAGCCTGCTATGCCCTCAGCTGTTAGCAGAAGTACCGAAGCCACACACACCCAGGCTGCAGTTGGACTATGCAGCCACGGACAAGCACCCCTGCAAGGCCCAACTCCAGGACAAGGGGTTCCCCCACCCTCAACCCACATACACCTGCAGCACACACATACACTGCTGGAAGAAGGGATGCCAGGTGTGGCCACGGGGCCTCGGCACACCTACACTCAGTGCCCACCTTGGTCTGGTACAGCGCCTCAGCCTCAGCCTTGCTCCTCTGGGCAATGTCCTCGTACTGCACACGAATGTCATCGATGATGCTGTCCAGGTCCAGGTCCCGGTTGTTGTCCATGGACAGGATGACAGACGTGTCGCTGATGTGGGACTGCATCTGCGCAATCTCCTGGGGACAGTGGGGAGAGGGGAGCCAGTTAGGGGGTCCCCCAGGGGACCACGTCTCCTGGTCATCCTGGGTCAGATGCCTCATTGACCTCTGCTCTTTGTCAGCACCAGTGGTTGCCAGACATGAGAATGAATGCTGTGGGCTTGCAGCCTGGATGGTAGATCCCATCCCCACTGTGCTCACAGGACCGCTCCACCCCCTTCCACATTCCCCTCACTATAAAACCACCAATGCCACCTGCCCCTCAAAGAATCAAGTCTGAGCTCCTCCCCAGGGCCCTGGGGGCCTTGAAGGGTCTCCCCAGGACCTCACTCTTCTCCCAACCCATTCTGTTCCTGCTCCCACCCATCTCAGGCCTCCAGGTCTCCACTCGCCACACCCCTCTTAGCACCCACCCACACACCCAGAGCTTCCTCTTTTTTTTTCCGCCCCCCCCCCCCCCGTGGGGAGCTTCCCTGATGGCCCTGGGCAGAATTCCCTACCCCACCAAGTCCTCACCCCTTCATAGAGACGCTTCAAGTACTTGAGCTCGTCGGTCATAGCATCCACCTTGGCCTGCAGCTCCACCTTGTTCATATAGGCAGCATCCACGTCCTGGGAAACACAAAGGATGGCCATGCTGTTCTGCCAAGGGGCCAGTTGCCTGCTTTCCCCCACCTTCCAGCCATAGGGGAGCCCCTGCAACCCCAGCCAGGCACCCTCATGCAATGATCCACTTTGTGAGAGCAGACCAGGTCATGGACAGGGGGACTAGACTGGCTCGGCCACAGGAGGTGCAATAAGAGGCTTTGAGAGCTGTGTGGCATCCCAGGCAAGGGACATGGCAAAGGACGCTAGGCAGTCAGCATCACAGGGCCCCTCTCCTACCCCACAGCCATTACCAGTGCCCCTCCTCTGTATGCCCCCATACCTTCTTAAGTACCACGAACTCGTTCTCTGCCGCCGTGCGCTTGTTGATCTCCACCTCGTACCTGTGTGGGCCGGGAGCAGGGAGGCAGCACGGATGTGAGCATCACTCAGTACCCCTGGGGCACACACACACTCAGCCTTAAAGTCATCTTCCTGAGAAAGCAGCTGTGCTGGAAGATGGGGTTCAGGGTGCACCTCCTACCTCCGGTTCACAAAAATCTTCCCTTGCCCTGTGCTGTATGCACCTTGACATGTGTCAAGGCTATGGACAGAGCCCTCCCAGGCACCACTCTAAAGCACTATTAAATTTATGTATTTATTTATTTATTTACTGCTTCACTCCATAAATTCTTTCAACAGTCACGGTGGGGCTGGACCACAGCCAGCAGCTGGAGACCCACTCCAGGTCTCTCACATAGGTATCAAGAATTCAGTGACTTGAGCCATTGCTGTGGGCTCCTGGGAGTCTGCATTAGCAGGAAACTGCACACAGGACTTAACCCCAGACAACAAGTAATGGCTCAAGTAGTTGGGTCCCTGTCATCCTTGGAGGAGACCTGAACTGACCCAGCTCTAAATGCTGCAAGTGTTTCCGGAGTGAATCAATGCATGGCAAATCAATTTCTCTCTCTCTCTCTCTCTTTCTCTCTCTCTCTCTCTCTCTCTCTCTCTCTCTGATAAATATATATGAATGCACAAAATGTTAAAAACAATAAGGATAAAAACAAAAATTTTACACATGCTGCAATTTGTTGTAGATGCCCAGTCATTTGAGACACTTGGAAATAGCCCAAGCCACAGAAACAAAACAGAAGGAAGGCGGACAGGGCTGAGGCTGGGTAGGGTGGAACAGACAATTGTTGCGGCTGAAAGGACCGTGTTAGCTTCCCAAGACAGAAGATCTGTGAGGTGGACGGTGGTGATGGTTCATCAGGGTGAAGTCATATAAAGCTACAGTGCTATTTCCTACAATGTTACAACAGGACATTTTATACTATGTGTATTTACAACCAAAAAAAAAATGATAGCTAGAAGGAATAACACTAGAAAATGGCTTTCTCTTGGTACACTTGGACACAAACAGTTCTGCCCAACTCTCCCTGCTGCAGCCCCACTCCCTGTGAGCTGGGCAGGTGCACGGCTGAGTATAGAAGCAGAGTGATGCTAACGAGCGGTTTAACACAGGAGTGGACCCATTCCTGAGACTGGCAGATTTCTCCGCTGACATTGAATAAACACGTGGAAAACCACTTTCATGACTCCCTGTGTATTCAGATGGAACTGAAACCTTACTGTCAAATTATAGCATCAAAGTTGCTTGTATGACACTTGATCTCTATCCCTTTTATAAAATAGGCATTCCCACCTCTTCTTCATAAAAGACATGCCAGTTTCCAAGAAAATTAGAAGGTTTTTTTTTTTTACCAGTTTATACTCTGTTTCATAAAATGCTTGGAGTTGTCATTTCCCCATATTCACTCCCAGAGACCAGAGGTCAGCACACACACACATGTGCAAAGAAAGCCATACTACAGACTTCATTAATCACTTGGAATCTCTAAAAATGCATTATAAAACACAACTGAAAGTTAAGCCATGAGAAAGTGAATGCTGCAATGCTGATTTAACTTGTTTTAGTACAGAATTGATGCATTAATTTATATTAGAATTACAGCATTTTAATCCTCAGTACTTTCAATAATCTATTCCTTCCATTAAAACCTATTTCTGCAAATCCCAAAGAACAGAAAAATGGACTAGAATTTTATCTCCTTCTAATTGTCACTGAACCAGTTGAGGGAAAATGGCTTCATTCAACTCACTTCAAAATATGTATTTCTGGGCCCAGTGCAGCAGCCTAGTGGCTAAAGTCCTCACCTTGCAAGTGCCAGCAACTGATATAGATGCCAATTCATGTCCCAGCTGCCCCACTTCCCACCCAGCTCCCTGCTCGTAGCCTAGGAAAGCAGTGGAGGATGGCACAAAGCCTTGGAACCCTGCACCCACATGGGAGACCCAGAGGACGCTCTTGGTTTCAGATCAGTTCAGCTCCAGCCATGGTGGCCAGTTGGGAAGTAAACCAATGCACAGAAGATCTTTTTTCTCTGTCTTTCTTTCTCTCTGTAAATCTGACTTTCCAATCAAAATAAATAAATCATATAATGCTTGCTACTTAGTAACCAAGATCACAACCGCTTTTTCTAGCTTGGATAACTCAACCCAGAGTCTTTAAACAGCTCACCTCAGCGCATTACTCGTTGACTGCACTAGGTTGCAGCCACTTGGATTTTCCACCATCCATCTTTAACCCACAGGGCGAAGTCTGTTCCAAAACTCAAAAACTGTACCTTGAACTCATGGACCTATTCTCCCCAGGGGCCCAGCCATGGATGCCTCTGCCCTGGGCCTCCTGGCTGTGCTAGGAGCCCTTCCCTGTCCCTTCTGGGACCTCCATGTGCTCCCGCCCTCATCTTCGCTCCACCCCACCTCCATTAACACTGTCTTCATTTGCACATTCTGCAAATGCTGGCTCAGCCCAGTCCCACCATGCATGTGTCACACGCCTCCTCCCTTGGGGTCTGCACGCAGGCTCAGATCAGCGGGGCACAGGGGAGAGGGCACCCCAGAACAGGCATAGACACGTTGAACGTGGAACACAAGAAAAAGCTCAGCTCTGGCCACCTGCGGCCCTGGAAGTCACCTGTTCCCAGACATCTGCAGGTCCCACAGAGTTGGAAGCCTTCCCTGTCCTCATGATTGGCTCCTCTCAAGGGGGAGACCGCCTCCGGTTCCAAACAAGCTTCTCAAGTCAAAAATGGGATCCACCCCCTCATGGAACAAGCTTTCAATACTACAAAACACATCCTGGGATTGGTGTGGCATGGCTCTTGCCTGGGAGCCACCACAGGGACCCTCCCCTGCAGTTCTGAACCCATTCTCCTTCTCTCATTCCTCCATCCCAAGAGAGGACCACACACTTGCCAGCCATCGAGAGCATCATTCAGGGTCTGTTCTCATGCTCAGTCCCAGTGGCACCTCTGCAGCTCTCTCCACCTGGAAGCTTCTGGAATGAGACCCTGGAGCACCAGGGTCCACTCTGCTCTCATTCCCTGCTCACCTCTTCTTGTAGTCCTCCACCACTTCCCGCATGTTGCGCAGCTCCGAGTCCAGCCTCACGCGGTCTCCCGACAGCGTCTCTAGCTGCTTCTGCATGTGGCTGATGCGGTTCTCGTAAATGGGCTCCAGGTTCCTCCTGGAGAGGTTCAGGTCCAGCTGCTGCAGCAGGTTCCACTTGGTCTCTAGCACCTGGTTCTGCTGCTCCAGGAAACGTACCTGCAAGCCCAAAGCCATCATGGCCCCAGAAGCCTCATGCTATTCTGCCTCTCAAGCACAGGGTGGGGGGCCTCACGTATTGGGGAGGGGGGTGATAGCAGGAAGGAGTGAGACTCATTAAAGGGTGGCTTTGACCAGAGCGCTGTGCTCATCTGGGTCTCCCAGACAAGAACTCAAAGCCCTCCTGAAACAAATAAGAAGGTAGGCTCAGCAGGGCAGCCATTCCATGTGTCCGCAGGTGACTTCTCTTTCTATAAGATGCAAGGGCTTTCTGAATAAACAGAATGGAATGTAGGCAGAACAGCAACTACAGAATGCCATGGATGGCACCTGGCAGCTGAGTACTCCCTCTAGGATCCCTGACTGCATTGGCTGGCAGGGTATCCACCAGCTGTGCCAGGCTCTGTCACACTGGGTCCCCCCATTTCCACCACAGGTGGAATACATCACTTCAAGCCCTCTGCTCCTCCCCTGCACCTCCTCTCACCTCCCTTCCCTTTTCCAGCAGGGTCCCCCTACTCCAGCCCCGACCCCCAACCAATGCTCCAGCCTCCTGGGCTCCTTTTTGAGACTCTCAATATCTTGGTTTCTTCTGCTGTCAGGCAGAGCAGTGGTAGAAATTCAAGTTGGGCACTGATGCAATAGAGGAATAGTACCAGCTGCTGAATGAGATTTCGGTCTATATCGTGGCCCCTTCATTCTTGGTCAAGTCCTTACAAACCCTTACCCTGTCATTTTCACACTGCTTGAGGTCCCCATCTCTGAATCTTCAGCCCTCTTACCGCCTGTGCCCCAATGTCAGGGCACATTTTGAGTATGCATGTGATGTTACACAGCCTGTCTGTCCCACCCTGACTGACACACCACCTTGCATCCTTCCTTCTAGATCCCTCCAGACTCGCCTGGCACCAAGCTCAGAGGCCATGCTGAGCCCATTGCATGGAAGAGGCGATGCTTATAGGGGCTGTGATTCTCCCAGGGTCAGAACGTGGCCCACAATGCTCCCGGGACCCACCTTGTCGATGAAGGAGGCGAACTTGTTGTTCAGGGCCTTGATCTGCTCCCGCTCCTGGGCACGCACCCTCTGGATCTCCGGGTCCAGCTCCAGGTTTAGGGGAGCAAGGAGACTCTTGTTGACAATGACCTGAGGGATGCCTCCAGGGGGACACACGCTGGGGCAGGAAGGTCCCAGCCCTGCGCTCCCGAAAACAGTGCCCACGAAGCCGCCCAGGCGGCCACCGCTCCGCCCGGCCCCGGCTGCAGCGCTCAGCGCCAGGCGCCGGCCGCCCCCCAGGCAGAACAGGCTCCTGCTGCCGAAGGCCGCTGAGGTGCCCTTGACCCCGGGCCGGAACGAGGCGGAGCTGCTGCTGAGCCGGCCTGAGACCACGGCTGAGCAGCCGCTGAAGCCCGGGCGCTCCCCACCGGAATACAGAGACAGCTGGCGACTCATGGTTGGCGTGGGACTGTGTGGGGTGATGCGGGCGGTTCAAGCAGTGCAGGCCAAGCGGGAGGTGAAGGTGCGGGCGGTGCGAGGCGGAGCGCGCATGCAGGAAGGGACACCTTAGCCACTCCGCTCCAGAACTGGTCAGCTCCTTAAATATCCGTGCACATCAGGGGGTTGGAATCAGCCTAATTTGTACGTAGGGAACCCCTTTCAGATCAGTATAAGCCTCTCGGGTTCTTCATTTGGAAAATTACCATCTACTCTTACATTTTTGTCACCCACCTGTGTCCCCCTATAAAATGACCCAGAACCCTGCATTTGGCCGGCTCACCTCCTGCATTATAATAATTTGCCGTCTATCTCTGCGTGCTGCCCTCCAATTACCAGGGTTATCCCAGCCAACATCTCAGAGGAGAACCTCCAGGGGGTCTGGCCAGAGGAGGTGTGGTAGGTGGATGAAGAGTCAGTGTGCAGACTGGTTCCACGGCAGACAGAACATGCACAAGATCAAGAACATTCCAGAGAATAGCCCCCTCCTCCCCAAGGAAGGGCTTCTGGAGTAAAGGGTGGGGAGGAAGCCCGCCCACTGCCAAGGGCTCTGGTCACAAAGGCCAAGGGTGATGTGGAGCCAGAGGTAAAAGCATTTCTGGAGGAAGGGTAGGGGAGACAGCAGGTGGGAGGGAGAACTGGGGGGGGGGGGGCAAGAAAGCTCAGCAGGCTGCAGGTGTGGCTTAGAAGGCAGCCTTTTTAAAATATATTGCTTTCCTTAATGTTGCTGTCCAGAGATTTCCTTATTTAAAAAAAAAAAAAAGAATTTATTGAATTTATTGGGTCTGGCTTGCTTGATGGCTCAACTAGCTAACCCTCCACTTTCAAGCACCGGCAACCCACAGGGTACTGATTCGTGTCCCAGCTGCTCTACTTCCCATCCAGCTCCCTGCTTATGATCTGTGAAAGCAGTGGAGAAGGGCCCAAAGCCTTGGGTCCTTGCACCCATGTGGGAGACCCAAAGGAGGTCTGGCTTCAGATTGGCTCAGTTCCTGCCATTGCAGCCATTTGGGATGTGAACCAGATGTGTTTATTTGTTTGTTTATATGTTTATTTAATTTGAAAAGCAGATTTACAGAAAGAAGAAGAATCAGAGATCTTCCATCTGCTGGCTCACCCCCTACCCCGCTCTCCAGCTAGCCACAACAACTGGAGCAGAGCTGGTCTGAATCCAAGCTTGGAGTTTTTTCCAAATCTCCCAGCTGGATGCAGAGGCCTAAAGACTTGGAGCCATCCTCTGTTTTTCTCCCAGGCCACAAGTGGACAGCTAGATGGGAAGTGGAGCAGTCAGGACACAAACTGGCATTCATATGGGATGCTGGTGCTAGCAGATGGAGACTTAACCTAATACACAGTGCCAGCCCTAAATTCACTTAATTTTGAGAGAAGATACTCACTTGTCCAATCCTAGAATCCTCTGCCAGACCCCTGCTACTCTGGCATTTCTGATTGCTCTTCAGATATGGACGCTCGAAGATCAAGAGTCAGAGTTGGGCACTTGACACCATAGAAGCTTCCAGAGACACTATCTGTGGCTGAACAGGATTGCTCCCCTCCTGCTACAGTTGCCTCCCAGGTATCCTTTCTCTCTGTGGTGGCCCCCGCAGCTCCTCCAGCACCAAGCACAATTACCACATCCCTGGCTGTCCGTCTGTCCTGTGTGTGAGGGACACCTCCTCCAGTAGGTTGGCATGGCCATTGTGCTAACCCTTCCCTCTCCCCAGGTCCTTGTACCAGGGACAGCAGCATGACTCTGACACCGATCAGCCCTCATACTCTGCCTCTTCAAGGGGGTGCTGGCCTGGTAGCCGGGGTGGGGGGTAATGAGTGTGCAACCAAGAAATAACCGTAGTGTGTGAGATGGCAGAGAAGCCTTTTAGAGTCGTGCAGGAGAGCGTTTCTAACCCTTCTGGAATCACAACTCCTTTATAACCTAGAACAGCAAGGGTTAGAAGTGGCTGAATGTGAACACAGAGCATGCTGGAGACAAGACAATGTTCAAGCGACACTGAGCTAATGTGTGCTGGCTGTGGAATGATGCCTACACACACCAGGGTAAAGACTGGTTGTTGAGGGCCCTGATTCAGAAGCCCGAGCCTGCCTTAGGGCCCCTGTGGGACGACCAGGTGGCACCTGAGGGTACCTGGCTAACCTAGACTCCACTGGGCCAACCACAGGGCATAATAACAGCCAAGGAGTTTGCCCCATAGGGAACAAAGTGGTGGGGGAAGGGGCTCATCAGTGAGTAGTGGTGGAGATGGCGCCGGGCACAGATGGACAGATAGGGCAGTCTGGGGTGTCCCTGACCGGAAGCAGGGTGGGCTCCCTGGGCTGCCCCAGGGGAGGGGCCACTGGCCAGTGTCTGTCTACAAGGGGATGTATTTTATAAGATTTTCCTCTCCTCCGTTTCCAATTGTAGCCAATGTGTTTCTCCACATCCACAAGGAAGAACTTTCTAATTCTGGCCCTTGTGAATAAAGAAACAAGGGGGTCTAAGCTAGGAGAGGAGACGCCTACCCTTGCACAAAGCTGACTTACAGAGGAAACCTTTGAAAGCATCTGTCCTGGGTGGCTTTCCCGGAATCAGGGCTCTTCCACCCAGGAAACAGAGAAGAGGACAACTTCTTATCATCCTCCAAGGGCTTCCCTGGCGGGGCAGGTCAGGATTACTCAGGCCCGAGTTCTCCTTTGTTACAGATGGCGCAGGGGTGGAGTGACACACGCAGGTGGCAGGTGCACCAGATGTGTGGGATGTGGACAGAGGATCAAAGGCATCTCAGGTCTGAGAGAAGGACTGCTCACTGCATCTGCTCCAGGGGTACCACCACACTGGGCTGGGCGGACTCGGCCAGCAGCATCGCTCCCCGGAAACCAGAGGCACACAGCAAAAGACAGGTGAGAGTCGCACTAAGCCGGGGCTCACAGATGGATCTCTTAAACCATGGGTTATGGGGGAAGGGGGGAAGTGTGAGGGTGGCTTCTGTGTTGGGTACAACCTACCATTCAGCGTGTGTCTTCTTGCTGGAGCTTCTAGCTCCATCTTCATGCTGGATGTGAAAGGGTCCAAACTCCATAGGAATGAGCTGGGTGGTAACGACCTGCCAACCAACGCGGGCTCATCCATTGTGAATGAGGCTGCACAGGCAAAAGGATTGATGGGTGGTCTCCACACCTGCGGCCATTCACGGTTTGGCTGTGAATCTGTAACTACTCTGAACAAATTACGATTTAACAAATACATAGATGGACGGGCAGCATTAAACTGTCAAGCAAGGCTCGTGTTTTCCGGAACAGGACTGAGTACGAATGGAGTTCTCCCTTGCTTTTAGCTACTCCTAAGTTTTCTAGCATGAACACTCACTGTTGTACTAAATGACAACTTTAAACTGATGAATGAGAAGAGAAGGCAGATAGTACAATCAGAACAAGAGACTCTTCTTATTTGAAAGGATATTTTAAAGATTTATTTATTTTTATTGGAAAGTCAGAATTACAGCGAATCAGAAAGATCTTTCATCTGCTGGTTCACTTCCCAAGTGGCTGCAATAGCCAGAGCTGAGCTGATCTGCAGCCAGAAGCCAGGAGCTTCTTCCGGGTCTCCCATGAGGGTGCAGAATCCCAAGGCTTTGGGCCATCCTCGACTGCTATCACAGACCATAAACAGGGAGAAGGAAAGACAGAGAAAGACCTTCCATCCACTAGTTAACTTCCCAAGTGGCCATGACAGCTGGAGCAGAGCTGATCCAAAGTCGGGAGCCCAGAGCCTCTTCTGGATCTCCCAGGTGGGTGCAGGGTCCCAAAGCTTTGAGCTGTCCTGTACTGCTATTCCAAGCTACAACCAGGGAGCCAGAAAGAAAGTGGAGCAGCTGGAACATGAATTGGCACCCACATGGGATCCCAGATGTTCAGGCCAAGGACTTTAGCCACTAGGCTGTTGCACCAGGCCCCAAGGTTTTTCTTTCTTTCTTTTTGTTTTTTTAATTGGCGTTTTTCAAATCTGTTTTTCACCACAGAGCCCTCTTCTTTGACCATATACCTTATAGGAACAAGGATTTCAGCAAAGATATTTGAAGGAATATCATCTGAGCTGTCACCATCTCCCCGCTAAGTAGTTCAAATCTCTCAGTTCCTAACAGACTTACCATAGCTTCCCTGAAAGAGAATCCAAAGTGATACGCAGCCAGCCCCAAGTCTGCACTTGGGGGATGTCCTTGCCCAGGCCAAGGGCACTCGGAGGCTACATCCAGCATCCTCCTAGTACTGGGCAAGAAAGCCAGAACCCCCAGCCTGGTGACCACCACTGGGCATCCAGAACCAGGAAGCTGCACCAGCAACTGTCAGCGCTCCCCAAACAGCCTCGCACTCATCCTCCTCTTCCAGCCTCCCTTGGGGTTCTGTTGGGCCTTGAGATGCCACGTGCCTGATACTGACCCATGAAATGGGAGTGACTTTGACACGAGGCCCTTCTGGGGCAGGGCAGCTGGCAGCCCCAGCTGCTCGACCATCTGTCTTCCCCTGATTGGGTGACCTTGGGATCCGTGTTTCCCACATGGCAGGTCTGTCGGTCCAAAGAAAGATCCGTTGACAGGACCTTGTAGGACGGCTGCCCTGGCCTGCCTTGGGTTCGAGTGAGAGACAGACCTAGGTCTCGCTGAGGAAAGCCGTGAAGATCTCAGAGCTGCTCCCCGGAGACAGTCGATGGCAACTGTTTGAAGCCGAGGTAAAGTTTGGCTGGCAGAAATATCTCTTGATAACCCTTCCCCCCAAGTTCACGTTCATCACTTCCTATCACTATCAGACCTCCTCTACTTTCCTTCTCACTTGAGCGTCTTCAAAGATGAATTCGCACCCGACAGTTCTAACAGCCACCACCTAGTAGGTACCAGGTACTGAGCTAAATATTTCTCGAATATCACTTCATTTCTAATGACAACTTCATGGGGTAATGAATATCATTAGTTCCTCTTTTATTGACTTTTAAAATTTTTTTATTTGAGAGGTAGATTTATATAGCCAGAAGGAAAGGCAAGAGAGATCTTCCATTCACTGGTTTACTCTTCAAATGACCACAACAGCCAGAGTTGGGCTGGTCCGAAGCCAGGAACCAGAAGCTTCCTCCACATCTCTCATGTGGTATAGGAGCCCAAGCACTAGAGCCATTCTTAGCTGCCTTCCCAGGGGCATCAGCAGGGAGCTGGATGGGAAGTGGAATAGCTGGAACTCAAACCAGCGCCCATAAAGATGCTGGTGCCGCAGACAAAGGCTTAACCTACTAAGCCACAGAACCGGCTCCTGTTAACCCTGAGGCCTTCAGAGCAGAGATATCTTTTGTAAGTTCCATGGGTGGTGAGTGGCAGGATCTTCCTGACTCAGGGCCCACATGCCACCAAGGCATCAACTTTTCCTCCAAGCTCCACAAAAATAAAATCTCAACTCTTAGAAGGCAGGAGAGGGGCCTCCCTGGTGTGCCTGCTGCCTGCTCCCTCTACCCCAGATATGCCTGCACCTCCTCCTGCAGCTGCCAACCTGCCTCTGGCCCTACTTTCACATTCCAGCGACAAGAGCTTCTTTCCATCACAGTCAGTGTCTCTGGCTGCTAAACCCACCTGTCACCTGGTGAACTCCTACTCATCCTCTGAAACCTTTCTCTATGTTGCCCCCTCTGTGAGCCTCTCTCAGCCTCCATGTGCCTCCTGTGCTGTCTGGACTCACCTTTGGATCTTGACATTACATCAGGTTATAGTTACACTGCTCATTGTGATGTGTCTACCAGGGTCATGGACCAGGTTACTCTGTCCCTGTGTCCCCAGCACCAACACCTGCCATGCACATCAAGGATACTTAGTAGCATTTACTGAATTGGTCTACCCTCCTGGAAACAAGAGCTGATTCCCGAGGTCACTTCATCTCTGAGCTGGTCCCCACTTGCAACATAAACAAACAGTCCTTATGGTTAGTAGGATATCTGTTTTGACTCGGATATGAATGTGGATGCCTCCTGCAGAGTCCCAAGTGTTAAAGGTCAGGTCCCCCCAGAGACTTAGGTTAGTGGATAATGGATTCATTTTTCTGGATGGTGGATAAAGGGTGGGGATTTCACTGAGGTACCATGTCTTGGGGGTGGGCCTAGTGGGTGGCCCCCAACAGGCAGGTTTTAGGAGTGGGGTGACCCTTCTTCTGCCCGTGCTGCATCACCACCACCCTCTGGTAAATGCCATCACCACCAAAATGAGTCTCCATGGTGCTGCAGTAGGTCTGGTCAAGCGTCTGTTACAATGAAGAAAGGATGACTAACACAGCGGTCACGTTTGGATTTTGGAAAGTGTTCTCCCAGAAGCTACAAGGCTCTTCTGGTGAGAAACTGAACCAGGTACGTAGAAGACTGGTGTCTGTTTCCACTCCCAGTTATTAATGCTGGGCCATTCTGTGCCAGGAGCTCCTAGGACGTCATCTGGCTGTCTCATTTTAGCCTACCAGCCAACTTGGAGTTATTATCCATCCTATTTTATGGCTCAAGAGAAGAGGTTAAAATAGATTGAAACGTGGCTTGCAGTCACACATTTGTGGAGTCTAAGCTTGGACTTAACCTATCGGCCCCCACTCAGATGCAGCATGGGAGCCGTACGCTGAATCTGGGGGGTCTGGAGAGCTATCTGAGCATCTGTGTGTCTTAGCAACAAAGCCATGTATGTGACAGAGATGACCTAGCACTTAACAGAGAGAGAGAGAGAGCATATTCATACTCATCCACACTCAATTCAGTGGGATCCTTGCAAAACCCAAGAGAACAGGAAACTAACCCCAGGGCCCTTTCTAGGGGGAACAGGAAGTAACCCCAATACCCCCAGCCCTAGAATTTTTAGAACTGGCTTCTGACCCATTTTAGATCATGCCGCCAGACAAGGGTTGGCTTCTCCTCCCTACTGATAACCATGGAGTCCTTGAAGATGGTGTATCATGCCCAGTAGGATGGCTCAGTGGCTAAATACTTGTAAGCACTGGATTCCATTTGGGTACCAGTTCATGTCCTGGCTGCTCCACTCCCCACCCAGCTCCCTATTTATGGCCTGGGAAAGTAACAGAGGACGGCCCAAAACCTTGAGACCCTGCACCCACATGGGAGATCTGGAAGAAGCTCCCAGGGTTTGAATTTGCTCAACTCTGACCATTGCAGCCTTTTGGGGAAGATGGAGGATGTTTCTCTGTCTCTCCCTAAATCTGATTTACCTTTCCAATAAAAATAAGTAAATCTTGAAAAAACAGATTGTTCATCTACTGGAACACTGGGGAAAGCACCTCTGCTGGGAGTGGAGAGAGAGCAGTCCTGGGCACCAGTGATTCAGTGCAGGTGGTGGTAGGACCATCAAATTCCAAGACATGAATACTCCCAGGCTCCTCCCATCCATTAGCCACTCCATAATTGGCCCCAGAGACAAGAGAGAAGCAGCAGCCTGGCTCCATGTGAATTTCACGTGTTTATTGGTAAGACATGGAAAGTAGGGCAGGAACCAGAGCAGGGGACACCCCCTCCCACCCTGGATAGACAGGCCCAGCAGCAGGAGTGAGCAGCGGCCAGGCAAGAAGCAACCTACAAACAGGTGTTTGACCTGAGCTAGCATTTCTCTCCCAGAAGGGCAATAACTCATGGCCAAGGGCACACATGGCCAAGTAACTCCCTGAGCCAGGGTGTGGAGGGAGCTGCCCTAGGGAGAGAAGTTGTCTCTTTGTGAGAGTCTTCATTAGGAGAGGGCAGAGCTAAGAGTTCCCTTTGCATGGAGAATGAGGAAGTGACGTCAGGACCCATTAGGGTTCAGGAGCACACAGGATTCCAGAGCTAGCCAGGGCAAGGCAGCCTACTGGAGAAGGAAGAGCTTGTCCCTCTATCTCGTGGCTTTCTTGGTGGCTGAATTCAAAGCTGAGGTCTTGGCTGGGGTGTCCTTGAACTCACTTGCACTGCCCAGCCTGGACCTGGCCTCCCCACTGGGGCTGCAGTTCCCGCTGCCGGTGACACAGCCACCAGACAGCATGTTGTAGCTTCCGAGGGCGCCCTGCCGGAAACTGTAGCTGCCAGCCCCGCCGAACCCATAGCCAGACCCGGTGCCTGAAGTCCCAGCTGTGGAGCTACTGACGACCGCTGTGGAGGATGGAGTAAGAGGTGATCAGCTTCCCAGCCCAAGCTGACACAAATGTTACCCTCTTAAGCAAATACAACAACCATGAGCTTGGCTGGCTGTCATCTTGCTCATTTCCAGAGCCTCGATCCTGCAGTACCTCAAAGCAACCATAGAGTCAACAAAAACAACAAGCCCTCCCCCTTTTTTTTCTCCCCCCCCCCCCGTCTCAAACAATTTCCCAATTGCTTGGGTTAGGGGAGGGGGGCTTCTATGCCTGAATTTTAGGAGGGACCAGGTTGATGCTTTAAAACCATCGTGCTTAACCTGTGTGTGCACAGGTGCCTGGTTTCAAGGTCCAGTGTCCACCCTGCAGGGAAGCTGGGATGCTACTGGGGCTGGGAGCCTCCACTTTGTGCAGTTGGGATCTCTGGCAAGTAGCCCATGTAGCAGGGATGAGGAGACCATCAGAAAGCTTATAGAAAACGCTAACTAGGAAAACACTCAGCAAGGGTTTCAATTTATGGGACTTTGCGGGGGGGGGCATCAAAATGAGCATATCTTGTTAATTCTGTTTCTCCACACACTTTCTAAAGTGCCTTGTATATGACAGTAAAGGTGCACCAAGCAGAGCCCCCAGACTGTGGCACCAGGGCTCAAGGGGTCCTGTCCTCTACAACCACTCATTCCCTGTTGTGTGAATTGGAAATCCTCCCCCTCTACCCGGCACGAAATACTCACAGATGCTCACGGAGTTGGTATATTCTCCAGACATTCTGCATGGAGAGAAAAGCACAGGTGATTTCCTCTCCTGTCGAATCGCAGCCTTGTCCTCAAAGAGCCTGATGGCTGTCCCAGAGAGCACCCACCAGGCCACCTGGGCCTCCATGAGCTCAGCTACTGGCCAGACCTCATTAACTCCACCTGCTGAACCTCGGCCCCACACTCCTTCCCTCCCTCTCTCCCTCCTTCCTTCTACTTCCCCCATGGGCCCAAGAACATCCACTCTCACACCAGGGTTCCCTCCTACCTATCCCCCTCCCTTGAATTCACTGGCTCAATCTGTGAAGGTACTGCCAGAGCAAACACCATGAGTGGGGCCACCAGCAGCGGAAGTGGGCGCTACATCTAAGGAGCTAACAGATCCTTCACATTTTCTCTCTAGATCTCAGCTACAGCATGGTACTCAGCTAGGCCAGAGCCACCTGTAGCACTGTCTAGTGTCACAGTGGCCACTTGCAATGTCCACGTGACAGAGCTCACGTGTTAAATGAGATGTGCCTTACACCACCAAGGTGCACATCTCTTAAAGATTGGCATCACCAGGGCAAACAAAAAACTTTTCCAAATAAGAAAACAGGAAGCTGTAGTAAAAGCAAATATAATAAATAATGAAATAACTTAATTAGTCTTTGGACAGATACCTCCTGCCAGGACACTCCCACAATCCTCTCCCAGCTTGGGATTTATGAAGATGCTTCCAAGGCCTCATTCTACCCCGCACCTGCACTCCTCGCCCTCCAGCAGCTTGCGGTAGGTGGCGATCTCAATGTCCAGGGCCAGCTTCACACTCATCAGCTCCTGGTGCTCGCGCATCATCCGGGCCAGCTCCTCCTTGGCCTGCTGCAGGGCAGCCTCCAGCTCGTCCAGCTTGGCCCGGGCATCCTTGAGGGCGCAATCACCCCGCTGCTCGGCGTCAGCCACGGCCGTCTCCAGGTTGCTGCACTGAGGGGCAGAAGGCACCATTCTTTCTGAGTCCTAAAGTCACCCTGGGCTCACCCTAACCCCAGCACACTCACAGGGCCTAGGACCTGCCTGTGCTGCCCCAGTCCCTGAAGCAGAGACCCAAGTATGAGCAAGGCCATGGCCATGACAGTAATGCAGTCCTAGGGGATCTGAGAGCAAGGGCTTAGAGCAAAGGCCTTCTGGTTGCTTCCAACTTCAGATGGGAGCCAAGGGGGTGGGGGTGAGGCAAGGGAGGGTTGGAGGCTGGAAGATCCGGAGAGGCAGAAGGGCCAGGGGCTGTGCTGAGTGATTCTCCCCATCCCTCGGGAGTTGAGTTAGGAGCCCCAGCCTCTCACCTGCTTCTTCACATTCTCGATCTCTGAGCGCAGCCTCTGGGTGAGTCGGGTCAGCTCTGAGATCTCGTTCTTGGTGTGTTTAAGGTCATCCCCGTGGCGGCCAGCTGCCAGCTGCAGCTCCTGGAACTGGGCAGGGAGAGTTCCAAGCAGCAGCATCAGTTCAGGGCTAGGCTGAGCCACCACTGGCACAGAGGCTGTGTTGTGCCAGGCAGAGATGGGAAGGGGTTCTCAGCTCTACTAAGCCCTTTGACAGCCTGCTGGTCAACCATCTGTCTGCTAGGTTTGTTTGCCTCCAGTGCAGCTGAAGATAGTGGCTTCCCCTGGCCTTGAGACTGCTGAAAGTCTGTCTCTACTCTCCATTCTTCAACATTGTAACACACAGCTCTGAGAATGATACTCCTCTACCCATAGCCCTTCAATGTTAAGGTCAAGTTCAAACTCATCACCAGGGAACAAGACGCTCACTTTTCACTGTCCCTGTCTAACCCCTGTCTTTGTCTTCCCAGGTGTGTCAGTCAGTCCCATGGCTCCCCCAGCTATTTCATGTGCCTCATGTCCCTATGTCTTTGCATGAGCGTCCTTCTTAGAAACTTTCTCCCAACCTGCCTGCCCTTCCCCCAGCCAGCTGCAACTCAGCTTCAAGTCGCTTCTTCCAGGAAGCCTTCCTTGATCCTATGCAAGTGTGTGTCCATCGCCTGTGGCCCACTAGTGTGTAGGTCTGATCACATTGTTTTGTGAATGGACGCTTCTGTCTCCCCTCTGACTCAGAATACATGGATGGCAGGGGGTTTTATTTCTGAATTAACAAAGCCTAACACGGTGCCTGGTTAGAGCCAAAAAAAAAAAAAAATGTCATAGGGACAGCAGACATTTCACCCACAGATGAAGTTGCTGCTTTGGAATGCCTACTTCTGATCTAGCTTCCTGCTAGCCTACACTCTAAGAGGTTGTAGATCTTGGGTCCCTGCCACCAACATGGGAGACCTGGAGGGAATTCTAGGCCCCGGGCTTCAGCCTGGCCCATCCCCCAGCTATGGTAGGCATGTGAACCAACATACTGAAGATCCAGCTCTTTGGTTTTTTTTTTTTTTTTTTTTGTCACTCTGCCTTTCAAATAAATCAAATACTTCAAAATATATATATATATAGAAAAAAATTTACTTCGTTTATTTAAAAGGTAAAGCTATATAGAGAAAAAGAAAGAGAAAATCATCTATCCACTTATTCACTCCCCAAACAGCCACAACAGCTATGGATTGGGCCACACCGAATCCAAGAACCAGCAGCTTATTCTGGGTCTCCCACATGGGTGCAATAGTTAAGTACTTGGGCCATCATCCACTTCTTTCCCAGGTGCATTAGCAGGGAGCTAGGCTGGAAGCGGAGTAGCTGGGATTCGAACCTGTACCCATATGGGATGCTGGCACTACAAGAGGCAACTTAACTCACCCTGCCACAACGCTGGCCTCTTAAAATATTTTTTTAAAAGGTTTCTTCTGAGTGAGTGAACGGAAGACGCAACTGATTAGGCATCCATCCATGTTTCCTGGCTCCTATGCCTTGAAAGCATGATGGGCTACAGGAATCTTGCTGGGCTAAGAAGGATGTGGCTGGCAAGAATGTTTTACATGTGGTGGTGGTATAAATTCAGATACATGCCAACACCACTGGCCCTGGACTGTGGGTCATTTGCTCCAGCATTTGGGTCCAGAGGCACACAGAGCAGGTGCACCCCCAGCACAGGCCTGTCTGGGTCTCCAAGGGCTGGGCCACACAGGTGGAGGTGTCCCATGAAAGATGCTGAGTCTTCTGGAAGGTTGGAGGTGGGGATGTGGGGCTGTTCTCCGTGCTCCCAATCCCCCCCACCATGTGACGTCAAGGGCGAGCTAACCCTGGAACAAGCCACCTTCCCTTACCTCTCACCAGGCGGCAGTCAGACCCCCCCCAGGTTCACATTCAGTTCTGTCACCTACCAACTAAGACACCCTGAGCCAGCAAATTCCTCTCTGTAAGACTGCTTCTTCATTGTTAAAGATAGTGGGGCGGAGGAGGGAAGCGGTGTTAAAGCCAGTTTTTCCAGTACAGTTGGGAAGTGGATGGACAGATGACCCCAAACATCCCTCCCCCACCTCCACTACTCGCCTACCATCTGAGCAGGCCTGGCTACATCCTTGAGATAAGGCTGGAAGCAAAATAAAGGACAACCCAGAGGGCCACAGACACATGGCACTTTCAGCCCTAGCTGGCAGCATCGACTTGGGAGGCCCTGAGGACCAGGGCCTGGAGTTGGAGCCTTTCTCTAGAAGCCCTGGCCGGCTTTGTCTGCTTGAAAGTCTCCCTCCTCCCCTGCTGCAGGCCAAATCTCCCATTGCCTGAGCCAGCCAGGTGGGAGACTGGGCGAGGGAGAGATAAGGTCTCCCAAGAGTGTGGGTTTCTCCTGAGAAAGAGCCAGATAAGCAGCAAAGAGGAGCAATTAGGGGGTTGCCATCTTGATGTGAAAAGCCAGAGAAGCCCTCCCCACCCACTGGACTTCTTGTCGCTTTGTCGACAATTAGATTTCAAAGAGAAGGTGGAAGCCACTTGCAGACGCCCCTCATGTAGTCCAGTAAGTGGAGTAATTGAGATGTCAGCTGCTTCTGCTTCTCCTCTGCCTGGTCCTGTCTCAGACTTAGCCCAGAACTCTCAGCCTCCGCCCTCAGCTCACGCAGACCCTGCCCCACATTCAAGCCCTTTTCTAGGTTGGAGCTGCACTTCCTCCTCCCTTCAGCTGTGGTGGATGGGCATGGGGCAGGCTGAACAGACGATGGACTCAGAGGGCCCTGTGTCCCTGACCCCAGGGAGGCAGCACGCAGCCCCACCTTGGTCTGGTACAGTGTTTCGGCCTCAGTCTTGCTCCTTTGGGCGATCTCCTCGTACTGGGTGCGGACCTCAGCGATGATGCTGTCCAGATCCAGCGAACGGTTGTTGTCCATGGACAGGATGACAGATGTGTCGCTGATGTGGGATTGCATCTGGGCGATCTCCTGCAGACAGGGGAAGCTAGGAACTGTGGCACCCCACTGTGGCTGAACAACCCCCCGGAAAACACAGATCCAAACAATGTTCCCACAAGCTGATGAGACATGAGCTCACCCGCCTGCATCTTGACACTGCCTCAGGGCATCAGCAGCAGCCCAAGGAACAAAACAGCCCTGAGATGGGACAGGAGGACATTGGAACCCACAGGTGCCTGGCAGGAAAGTGTAAGGATAGCCGCGCCCCCCATATCCACATTCACCCCAGTAGATGCCTGCTTGGCATCTCAAGTGGCAGGAAGAAAGCCAACGGGACAAAGAAGAACTCAGGCTGAAAGTTTAATGCCAACTGGCTTCCAGAGACTATTGGGACATGAGGACAAGTGGTCGCTCTCCCCTTTGACCCACCAAGCTCCCAACACTCATGTGATGGTGGTCCCCGGACTCCCAACGTGAATGACAAATAAGTCACTGCTCATCGCAAGTGGCCATCCGGGTGCTGGACTGGGGGAGGGGAATGGGGAGCAGGAAGGCCTTACCCCCTCATACAAGCACTTGAAGAACTTAGTTTCCTTGTCCAGGGCTTCCACCTTGGCCTGCAGCTCCACCTTGCTCATGTATGCTGCATCTACATCCTAGGGAAAAATCAGAGTCCCCTCCCTAACGTCACCTGCCTTTGAGTCCAAACAAGCCCTACCCCCAGGGTCGTGGCGGGGGGGGGGGCAACACACCAGCTTGTGTGTGCCAGATGAGCATCCACGTGTCCCAGGATGTCCCCAACCCTCCAAGCTGCAGGCTCATCTGCTCGTACTGCTGTGTTGCCCCCCACCATGACCCTGGGGGAACAGAGGGCCATGAACCCCACCCACCTTTTTGAGCACCACGAATTCGTTCTCAGCAGTTGTGCGTTTGTTGATCTCCTCTTCATACCTGCAGGAAAAGCATCAGAGTCTAGTCAAGTGTGTGCATGTGTTCTGACAGTGAGGCCCCAAGAGAGAGGCCCATCTGAAAGATATGCATGGGTGTGTGTGTCTGGGTCTTTGCAAGTCTGTGCCAGCTGCCCAGGACTGGGTGGACTGAGTGGGAAATAGGCTGCTCACAGACCCCACCACCTGGCAGAGAGTAGAGAGACTGCATGGCCTGGCTGTGGATATCCTAGGAGGCCTGCCAATCAGAGGGTGCATCCAGCCCCCTGCGGCCAGGTATCCCCACCAGCATCTCCACCTACACCATGGCCAAGGCAGGGGCTCCAGAGAAGCCAGAGTTGTCCCCAATGACAAGAAGAAGGAACATGGCCCAAGTGACCTAAGGGAAACAAGATGGGGCCCTAGAGCAACCCCAGGTCCTGCCCAGCCAGCAGCCCTCCTGGCTTGCCCGTACTAGGCACCCATCTGCCTCGGCTATGCTCAGAGAAGTCTCCTCAGCAAGTTCAGCCCCCTCCAAGGCAGAGGTCAAGGTCCTGGCGCCCGTCAGAGAAAGTCCAGTCCCAGGAGGCAGCCAGCTTGGGTGCAGTGTTTCCCCACAGCCTCCCCACTCACCTCTTCTTGTAGTCCTCCACCACATCACGCATGCTCCGCAGTTCCGAGTCCAGCCTCACACGGTCCCCGGACAGTGTCTCCAGCTGCCTCCGCAAGCTGCTGATGTAGCCCTCGAAGATGGGCTCCAGGTTGTTCCTGCGGTTGTTGAGGTCCAGCTGCTGCAGCAGCTCCCACTTGGTCTCCAGCACCTGGTTCTGCTGCTCCAGGAAGCGCACCTGCAGCCCCAAGTCCCACCACCATCAGTCAATGGAAATAGGAGAGGGTTGGAAACCCCCATTCCAGGACATGAACAGTTCTCTTGGGCTATGCTAGCTCCAACTGGTTACCACAGTTCTACACCAAGGCCACCCAGGCCCACCCTAGTCTGTTTTTTGTGTGATCCCCTCACTACACAAGCAACCCTGAAGGTCACTCCATCAGTCAGCTCAAGACCTCTTGTCTGGCCTCACCTGCCAGGGCGTGTGTCTATGGCTAGCATAGCCTGGGCTGCCTCATTCAACAAAATCCTTAGACGCACAATGGCGTGTGCTGGCTGGTGCTCCTGGGCTCCTCTGCTTGGGACTGGCACCCTGCTTGTGCTGTACCTGCTGCCTATCTCTTTGTTCATGGCCTCTCCCTTTCGGTCCAGAGGGCAGGGGCTCAGCTAACCCAGGGGCCTGAGCTCACCCATCTGCTGATGGTACATCCAAGTCAGAATCTCCATTATCTCATAGCATCACCCCATGGGGAGACCAGATCTTGTTGAGCTGTGACCTAAAGCAAGCGTGTCTCCCTGACTGCAGACCCTTGGGTGGCTCTCCCTCCAACCTACCTTGACAGCATCCAGTCCAGATTCTTCACTGGGCTCTTCACATTGCGCCCAACCTTCAGCATCCACCCAAATGAAGCCCCCTCCCACAGACACGTCCTATCTCTCCCTGGATTGCCTCTCTCCCACCTGCATCTGGAAAACTCCTACTCATGCTCCAATGCCCTAGCACAGTGTCCCTCCTGGAGAACTTCCCCCCAGTTCCACTGAGCTCAGGAAATCTCTCCTTTCTAAGACTTTCTGCCACTATGTCCCTCCATGGTTCCTAAATCTAGTAGTGGAGGATCCCCCTCGAGAGTCTTCAATTCAGACTGCCAAGAGCATACACTGCCACTGGGAGTGCAGGTAAGGCTGAATCCACTGGATTGGAACCACATTTGAGAACCCTTGCTCTGTCACACTGTCTTCCCACCCGCCACCTGCCTGGCCTGGGATGTTGAGAGTGTGGCAGACAGAAGCTCGAGTTGGACCAGAGCCTGAGCTGATGGAGGCGCCATAAGGGAAGAAGGAAGTGTCTTCACTTTCAACACAACCCAGGCTCTCGTGGGCCAGGCCTCTCTTCTGCCTAGCTTGGCAGCCTGCGGGCCACTTTCTCTGTCTCCTGTGCCACTTTCTGGATTGAACTCTCCTACTCCTCTCACTCCCTCGACCCTCAGTAATTATTTTCTGACAACCAGGGCTTGGTCCAGTAGTCACCTGCCATAGGCTGTCTGCCTCCTGGACAGGTGTCTGTCTTCCTATGCTTCCTATGTGTGTGGGAGGGGGAGGCGGGGCTGCATGCCCGGTTCTCTCTATAGCTCCCACCTTGTCGATGAAGGAGGCGAACTTGTTGTTCAGAGCCTTGATCTGCTCCCGTTCCTGGCTGCGCACTTTCTGGATCTCGGGGTCCAGCTCCACATGCAGAGGGGCCAGGAGGCTCTTGTTGACAGTGACCTGGTGGATGCCTCCTGGCAGGAAGACAAATGGACCCGCGGACCCCTGGGCCACACTGCCGAACATGCTGCCCGCAAAGCCAGTGGGTCGGCTCCGGCCAAACCCGTAGCCCCCAGCCCGGCCACTGCCACTGGCCACATTGAAGGAGAGGCTCCGGGTACCTCTCACGTTGTAAAGGCTCCGGCTGCTGAAGCCCCCGCTGAGCCCTTTGCTCCCTGCCCGGTAGGAGGATGAGCTGCCCCCAGAGAGCACGGCTGAGCAGCCGCTGAAGCCCCCCTTGGCAGCAGCTCCAGGCTTGCAGGTGAATTGGCGGCTCATGCTGGGAAAGTGGAGAGCTGAGATAAGCGTGCACTCTTGGCGGTGTGCAGTGACGTCCACCTGCCACAGACCTCAGGCTCCCGTTTTATATGGCTCAAGAGGGAACCACCACTCCTAATTGATGGGTTTAGTTTGCCTGGGAGCAAGAAATCATTTTTTCCCCCTAACAAAATCAGAGACACTTGGGAACATAACTTGCAAATCCCCAAAGTGCTGGGCTTGCAAGCCTTACTCTTGTAATTGAGTCTTATCTCTGGAACATGAGATAATTAGCCTAGCCAAATTATCCCTAGAAGAATCTTGGTTGGGAGAAATGTCCCAGGCTCAACAGCCATTCCCCATGGAGAAGAATGGAAGACCTCTAATTGGCAGCACCATCAGTGAGAAATCTCACGCATCAGATGGGCTGCTCTGGGACCCTGCTGAACAGCTTTTATGTGGTTAGGAAGAGATGGGCCTGGCCTGACTTCCCAGGCCTCCTGGAGGAAGTTCTCACGGCTGGCCAGGATCTTAGTAGCTCAGAGCTCTGGGTCCCCATGCTGTGCCTTTCCAAGGTCCCCAGCACACACTGACTTCCTTGTACCATCCCTGTGCCCCTACTCTTAACCTTGAAGTAGCAGCCAAGACCACTCATTGCAGTGGCTGACCTGGGGTCAGGACTGACCAGTGTCAAAAGAGCTCCTTGCGCACTGAGCCTGTGTTCTATCTACCTAGTGCTCCTGGGGGAAGAAGAGGGAATAGAGATAGGAGAAATGAGGCCCAGAGCCAGAAGTACTTCAGAAAGATCACTGGAAAGTAGGGTTAAAAGGCAAGTGTATTTTGCTACACGGTGATGAAACCCCTTCTCCCCAGCCCCATATTACACTGTGACAAGGATGCAGAATTGCTCCGAGGGTGCTCCTATCAGGATACCAGGGTCAGGCTGGAGGTGACTGCAACCTGTGTCTCAGCCAGCTTGTGAACTGCCATGTGTCACAGGCCCAGCCGTTACCCCACCCCTACCCCACAAGGGCCAAAAGCAAGTGTTGACACGGCACCTGCCAATTCTCCAGGGAGGCCTGAGCCCCTCTCTGCACAGGCAACCTTCACTTTCCTTCTCTGTTTCTGGCGGTCTCTCCTTGTGCACCTGCCACAGAGGCTTGTCCCTGGCCCCTTGTCCCTGTCCAGCTGTGCCTCTCAAGCTGACAGCCCAGCAACAGCTCCTATTGTGTAAATCATGTCCACAAACCAGATGTCTCTACCTGTACTCTGATGGGTGCCCACTTTCCCCAAGGGCAGAAAGTCTCCCAAAAACAAGACCAGCTTCCAGTCTCCTTCTGGTTCTCTCTACCTGCTCTCCAGGGGGGTGAGAATCCCAGAGGATGAGGAGGTACCCTCAGGTGATCTTGAAGCAGACATACAGACTCATAGTTGCTCTTTGAAATCATAACCACCGAAGCACATGATCCCTGGCATCTGTTTTGACAATTCCTCTAAGTGGCTTTTCAAACAGCAAGCCCTTGGGACTGGCATTGTGTGGGCTAAGTCTCTGCCTGCCATGCCAGCATCCCTTATAGGTGCTGGTTCAAGTCCTGGCTGCTCCACTTCCAATCCAACTCATTGATAATGTTCTTGGGAATAGCAGCAGAGGATAGCTCAAGTTCTTGGGTCCCTGTACCCACATGGGGTGGGCGGGACTAGGAAGAAGCTCCAGGCTCTTGGTTTCAGCCTGGTTGTCATGGCCATTTTGGGGAGTGAGCCAGCCAACAGAAGACCTCTCTCTGTCTCTGTAACTCTGCCTTTCAAAGAAATAATAAGCACATAGATAAACAAAAGAAGGACATCACATATATATGTACACATATACATATATGTGCATACACATATACATTTACACATCATATATGTGTGCCTATACATGTATATATACATACATAGATGATATGTCCTTTTATTTCTCTCTATATATAATTATTATATTGTATTTATTTATACATATAGTGAGCCCTTTGCATTTTCTATCACACCAAGGGAAACTCAACACCAGATGAGCTTGAATCCAATCTTCACTCACCTCATCAGTCCCACCTCCCACAGATGGCAGTCTTACCCTGGTCTTCAGCCTTGGCCCAGACCTCCAGGGCAAGTATTTCAGGAGGTTCCAGTAGAATAGCAGGAGGAGCTCAGCCTCTCACCCTCACAAGCATTGTGGTGTACACAATAATTAGAACTTCCCCATGCAGGAAGATGGAGCAAGCACGGTTTTCCTAATGTAAGGAGGTTCCAAAAGGGGAGCCAAGGGAGGCATACCAGGTAGGGCATTTGGAACCCCAGGAAAGACATGGTGGTGATTTCTTTGGGTCTTCTATTTGTTATCCTGGGAGCTCACAAAAATTGCTTCAAGCCCTAGCAAACTCCTGCTTTCCTTAGCTGTAGCTTGGAAACAGCGAACTTATGGACGACAACGCCCCTTCTCCACCTGAACACCACAGAAAACCGATCTCCCCCACACTCATGCCAGACAAAGCCGAATGGGAAGCCAAGACCTTTACTGCTACCAGCTGCCCTAACTGCCACCTTCCCCAGAGTCATGTGGTATCAAGGGGGTCCAAAGAGGGAATGGGGCTTTCAACTCCACCACGTAATCTCAACGTCCTGAACGTCCTGTATGAGAGAAGATGAGGTGGGGAGCCTGAACGCCCCTCTACCTGGAAGCAACAATATGGCATCCCTGCCCTCTCCTGTGCCAGCACAGTCTTAGAAGAAAAAGCAGCTAACAGGGAAAATTTCAGTTCAATTTAGTGCCTCATCATAGCAGCCCAGAGGCCCAAGTTTTGGTCAAATATCACCTGTCATATCAAGAACAGAAGAAGATCTTAAACTGAATGAAAATGGAAACATCTCGAATCAACAGTGATGTTGGAATTATCTTGTAAAGGTTTACAAGCATCCATGGCAATTTAGAGGATCTCAACAAAGATGTGAAAGATTTAGTAGAGCAGCCAGTATAATAGCTCAATTGGCTAATCCTCCACTTCCAAACATCAGCATCCCATATGGGCCTTGCTGCTGGATCGGGGGAGCTAGGACATGAACCATCAATGCCAAAATCGCAGGCAACAGCCACATGCTGATTGCCACAACAGATATTCTGTTCTTGAATTTTCTGTTATATTTGGTGGTGACTTAAGCAAAAAGTGCAATGCTGTCTGATATCATTCTGAATGCATTTAAAAGAAATATTTAAGGAATTGTAAATGAGAAAGGGTGAAAGGATGTAAAGTTAAGATTTGTCCATTTCACCTGCATAGCTAAATGATAACAGTAAACTATTTATGACATATGCAAAATGAAATACTTACCATCACCGAAAACACTATACAAAGGCATACCCTCAAAAATATATACATAAATCAAAATTGATTCTTACAACTGTTGAAGGAGCCCACAGGAAAGTAGAGATTATAAACAAAGAGAGTAAATATAAAACAACAATTTAAATGGAAGGCTTAAGCCCTAGCATGCCAATAACTATGTTAGGGAGAAATGATCTAGATACACCAATTAGAAGTCAGAGATTATCAGATTATGTACTGCCTACCAAAAAATAACATGTGTGCGAATTTAAGTGAAAGGATGGGACAAGATACATCTTGTGAGAATGAATCAAGACTGAATAGGAGTGGCTATATGAAAATCAGATAAAGTTCAAAGCAGAGAATATCACGAGACAGGGAGCGAGAGACCTCACCTGATGACAAAAGACCCAATTCAGTAAGAAGACACAGCATTCCTGAGGTATAAAACTAAAGAGCTGCAAAATATGTGAGACAAAAGCAGATGGAAATTAAAGAATAGACACTTGCTCAAAGGTATCTACAGACTTCATTATTTCTTTGAAGCAAGCAACAGAACAACGGACAGAAAATCACCATGTTATAAAAGCCATGATCCAAGAGAATCAGGCTGGCTCGTACAGAATACTTAACAAAAGCAGAACACATATTTATAAAAATACCCACCATGACAGGCCATATTCTGAGCCATAAACAAATTTGAATCGATTGGAAATAAATCCCAGTAGAGACCATGTGGCCTTTGGAACCCAGGGAATCCAGTTGGAAACCAATTAGTGGGGAAAAAAAAACCAGAAGGGGATCAAACAGCAGACTTCTAAATGACCTGTGAATCAAGAGGCATCATATGGGAAGTCTGTAAAAATACATCATTTTCAAATAAAGGTTAACCCAGAGGGGTCAGGACTTGAGCGTGTCTGAATTGGGGGGACACAATGCAACAGACACGAGGCAGGAGCAACAGCAGCCCACAGCAAAAAATAAATAAATAAATAAAACAACCAAGGCTTGACACGGGACAAGCCTAGTTCACTGCAGCAAAGACAGCCACCAGACACTGCTGGAGAGATTGCACAACCATTGGCGAAATAAATCCAGGCAGCCTTGGCTCACTGGTTTATTACAGAAAAAGTAACTCTGTGTGGATCACAGACGTACAAGCAAAGCTGTAAAACTTTTATTGAAATAACTGCAGGACGTCTTCAGGATCTGGCACAGATCAAGAGCTTTTAGACTTGACCCCAAAAGGCATGCTCTGTAAGGGGGGGGAATGCACAATAAATTAAGTTTCATTAAAATTAAAAATGGGACTTGGCAAAACAACTCATTTAGGAAGATGTGAAGTCCATCTAGAGACAAAAATTATTTGCAAAGCACCTAGGCAGCAAAGAACTAATGTTTAGGATAAACTCAACACTCAAAGACACAACGAGGCATTTGCCTGAATAAGACATGTAGATTGCGTATAGGCACATGAAGCTAGGTTTAACACTAGGAAAATACAGTCTTGGGCCATATGGATCATCACCACCTGCCCATCAGAATGTCTTAAATCAAACTTAGCGACAGCAGTGGATATACTGGCCCTGGTGTGTTACCGGGTGAGGGGATGGGGGAGGAGGGAGAAACGGATACATCATGGACAATAATTTGACTGTTTGGGTC